GGGGGGGCATTTTTACCGAAAGTCGATCTAAACCCCTAAAATATGTCAAATTACTCTGAACACCTTAGCCGGTTTAGATCAAATATAGTTGTAACAAATTATCAGGTCCCTGTGATCTTAAGCAGCGATGCTACAGTTCAAAGTCAACATATATACAAATATGAAATGGTCAATAGTTCCATGAGAGGGAGTTTTATTTTAAAGATTCCTCATATAATATAGATGGCCTTGGCTTTGGCTTTATTTCTCAGATTAGAATCTAATTAAGGCTCACTTGAATTGTTTCAGAGTGCCAAATGATTTTTTTTAAATTCCAATAGCTACTTAAAATTCAGAAATTAAAATATAAATTTGTAATTAAACTCCTTAGGCCGTTTTCGTTTAAACGGTTGAACCGATCAGACCACAGTTGTTCCTTTATTAAATAGGTCGGACCTAGTAATCTGACAGAAGCTGCTTTCAGGCGAGCCTTGACAAAGCCTTGCAAGGCCTGCATTAACATGTGCAGGTCCGCCAACATTTATATCCGAAATTATAACATTTACAAACGGACAAACCGGTTGTTCCGCATAAACGAACAGGCCCAGCCTGTCTTGGACCGGTAGAAAAAAAAATCACCGGAAATTGTCTGACTTGTCTCCCTTATGCCGTCTTCCGTCAAAACATCAAGTTGAAAAAGGCGGGGCAGACAGGTATGTATTCGTAAGATTCATTGCGATATTAAATGAAATACGCTTCTCAAACAACTTTAGTAAAGTTCCTTCGATATTGCTAGACAAGTAAATAGGATGATTAATTAATGAAAAATTAGCTAAAAGCTTCACGAAGTTGAAAACGTGATGGAATGCTACAGTTGTTTATTCGGACAAACCTGTTGAGGGCGCGTCTAATTACCCAATACTACCCAATACCACCCAATACTCCCCAATACTACCCCATACGATCCAGTTATGAACCAAATACTTCTTTATTACTGTGAAATATCACCTTTGTAGACGTTATTTACTTCCATCTGCCATATTTATCGGGAAATATGCGATTTGGTGCCGAAAACATCACCGAATTGCCGTGACTATGACCCAATACTACCCAATACTACCCCATACGACCCAATTATGACATATTCCTCTGCTGTCAGGTCTTATACAACAGGCACCTCCAAATTGTTCGGGGTTCATTTCCTTCTTTCTGTAAATAACCAAGGATGGGAGATTGAAGTATGACCTGGATTGAGACATCATAATAAGATAATCTCTTACCAAGTTTCATGTTTGGCAGTATCACATTGATGTTATGAACTTATAAATCTCACAAAATTTGTGTTCAATTTATTTAAATCTAACAAGATAAAAAAATAATACAACAATTTGTATCAGGTGATTCTATTATTCAAATGCATCCATATTTTGATTTTATCATTTTCCCTTGCAATAAATGATCTATCTGCATCTCATCCTTACCAGAATAGGCCAAACTTAAACCTATGTTCTAGTTCTAGTTATAGTTATTTTCCAGTACAGGAATCGAACAATATGTTCCTCTACACCGGACTCTATTATACATGTAATATGTTCTCATGTTTAAATATTAGAGTTCACTTCCATCTATGGTTGCCTTATAATTATAAAGTATTTCCTGATTTTTCCATATGTCCAGTCTATTCTTGAAAGTGTTTATATTAGGTGCCGATACAACGTCCTCGGGAAGAACGTTCCACATTTTTACAGTTCTAATACCAAAGCTGTTTTTCCTTAGTGTAGTTTTGAATTGTTGCGGGAAGATTATTTTTGAATTCCCCCTACTGCTGTGACGCCTTGTTACATCCTTCCAAAGTTTAATAAAATTACAGGATTCCCTGTCGTATATTCCGCTTATTATCTTATATAGTTCAATCATATCCCCTCTAGCCCTTCTGTATGATAGTGTTGGGAGTTCCAGCTTTTGTAGTCTTTCTTGGTATGTTAAGTTTTTCATCCCCGGTAAACTCCTAGTTGCTCTGCGCTGCACGGCTTCCACTCTATCAATATCTTTTGCTTTATACGGTGCCCAAACAGAACTAGCATAGTCAAGTTGTGATCTTACTAAACATTTGTATAACGGGGGAAAGGTGGTATAATTCATAAAATTAAAAGTTCTTCTTAACAGTCCGAAAATTTGGTTTGACTTTTTTACTTTTTCGCTGATATGGTTTTCAAAACTCAATTCCGAGTCTACAGTAACGCCAATATCTTTTTCTTGTCTGTTTTTTGTAGATTGTTCCCAAGTAATTGATACGATCCCGTTGTTCTGCTTCGAAGTTTGTATTTCTCTAAATACAAATTATATATATATATTGTAATTGAAACCTTGAAGATTAAATTCAGTTTATAATAGAGGTGTATGTGTTGAAACTGTCGTTTCAGTTTATGGGTATACATACTTCTTGCATTCGGCATAGAAGAACTGCTCCCGGTTTCTTTCAAGAGCAACATATACCAAGGGAATTAACTCTGTTTTGCCTTTACCTTTATATATAAGCATGTTTATTACCTTTAAAGAACTTCATTCGGTTACATGTGGCATCCTAGAGCAACACTCTTAAAACATACAAGTACCCTGTACGTATTTAAGCTTCATTGTCAAGCAGTAACAAATCAACTATTGTATTGGAAGAACCTATAGGAAGACTATATATATATAGCTATATACCAGTTAACAAGAGTGTAACTGAATCCTCCCTGTTACAACAGCTCCAAGGCCGTAAAAAGGGCAGGTTCTTGATGCATGTATTAATTTCTAATTAATTTCCATATACTTCTACTTTTCAGATCTGAGCTTTGTTTGTAGATCTGATTGAGTAGTCTCCCCTTTTGGCCTGATTGAGAAGTCTACCAGTTGAACTCACAACAACAAGCATCAGGATGAACATCTTGCCTTGTTTTGGTTCCATGAAGAAATATAAAAACCAAGACTATGTAAAGCTGAAAAAGGAAAGCAAAGCTAAAGGAAATTTATTTATAGATTTGGAATTCCCACCAGATGACCGTTCCTTATTCTATAGTCAGGGGAAGTTGGCTGATGTGGTGTGGAAAAGACCGAAGGTAAATTAGCGATGTTGTATGCACATACACAGGCCACCAGCCAGCTTACTCAAGTGTTAATTATGCACTTCAACATTCACAGATATTTTTTGGACATCTTGTGCAATTTTTCAAAGGGCTTCATGTATTATTTCACATATAGACCTTCTGACCACATGTATTTTACTATATTGTACTAGTTAGATATCCAGGGTTCCAGATGTAGTCCATTTTTTTCCTGCAAAGTTGATATGTTTTGTATTTCTTTAACTTATATACAAATATAAATAAAACTTTGACAAACAAAGCAGTTTGTGTGAGAGTACCTATGTGGTAGTAAATGCGCATCTGTTTCCCTGCCGGGGAAGCACATGTACAGGGGACAATGGTATAATTTCAGCAGCTGTTGTTCATATATACTGATATCTATCTCATACTGTCATTAAAATGATAAGGATTAGTGTTACACATCATTTCACACTAAGCCTGTGCCACGGATAAATTATATATTAAAAAATGTATGCAACACAAATACACTCTCCCAACACAATGATTCTTTGATTGACCTAATCATTACAGGATTAGTGTAAGATGGTATCAATATGTTTCAGTTTATGCACATGTATATAAAACCTTTGTCTTACATGTGCATGTTTATATGTTTGATAAAGCTGGCGCTTTAATCATTAAAAATCAAGCTGAAACATTTGTGGTATTGCAATACACGGAAATTAAAAAATTTATTGAATTTAATATTTCAGTCATAAGATCTAATAGATTTTTAGGTCACCTGAGCTTTAGCTCAAGTGACCTATTGCTATCCGTTTTCGTCCGTCGTCGTCCGTCGTCCGTTAACATTTTACATTTCAAACTTAAAGTCAAGTTCTGCTGGGCCGATTGAACTGAAAGTTGGTAGGAATGATCGCCTCATGGTCCTGACAAAGTGTTGTTATTTTTTGGGTCGATCAGAAATCCAATATGGCCACCACGGCCGCCATTTTGAAAACCTATTTCAAACTTAAAGTCAAGTTCTGCTGGACCGATTGAACTTAAAGTTTGTAGGAATGATCGACTCATGGTCCTGACAAAGTGTTGTTATTTTTCAGGTCAATCATAAATCCAATATGGCCGCCACGGCCACCATTTTGAAAACATATTTCAAACTTAAAGTCAAGTTCTGCTAGGCCGATTGAACTGAAACTTTGTAGGAATGATTGACTCATGGTCCTGACAAAGTGTTGTTATTTTTCAGGTCGATCAGAAATCCAATATGGCCACCACAGCTGCCATTTTGGAAAACTATTTCAAACTTAAAGTAAAGATCTACTTGGCCGATTGAACTGAAACTTTGTAGGAATGATCGAATCATGGTCCTGACAAAGTGTTGTTATTTTTCGGGTCAATCAGAAATACAATTTGGCTGCCATGGCCGCTATTTTGCTACTAAGTTCTAATAGGCCGATCTCACTTAAAATTGGTCTAGGAATGATCAGCTCATGGTCCTGACAAAGTTAAGTTAACATTATACTTTTTTTTACTCAAATTGGTACATATTTCAACAACAAAAATAAATACTGTAGACTCAGGTGACCGTTAAGGCCCATGGGCCTCTTGTTAACTTCACTATTTATATATTTTAGTATTAATTGTATTACAAATACCAGATATATATGTTACCAGGTACTATAGCACATGATTGGTAGGTTATTACTTCATGCCTCCAACACTGTACAGATGTAGCTATATGTTTTGGTACAGTTTCTACAAAATACAACACTGTTTATTTATTCTTAATTTTCTTGCATATTTCATAACACAAAAATATTGGCCTGAAGATTCTGTACAGTAAAAGCTTGATATAAAGCCACTCATTCCATTTGCCACAATTCCCTTCACTTAATTGCCTAACCCCTTATAATGCCAAACTTTATCTTGACAAATGGTGGCCGTATAATGAGATTTTACTGTACTCTGTAGCTAAAACTTATTGTTATTTTCACTGCCAAGTGCTGATTTTACGTGCGGCTACCTGTCTGACGGCAACAATCTGAGTCAAGTCAATGTTTTCCTTCACACAGGGGGCTACAATCACAATTGATTTAAATACAAAGGAGACAACAGGCCACACTTACAGAGTGGGAATAAGGCATACTCAAATGTAACAGCTGGTCACACTATTATCATATATAGTAGTCTTACGTTAGATAACTATACTGAAGATCAGAAATAGTGATAACCTTACTACATCTATTGAGGAAGATCCAGAAAGAATCTCCATTATTCATAGTCACCTTTCCAGTTTTCTTAACATGTAATTTGTAGATTTCCCTCAATACATTGACATTTTAGCTGCCTTTATAACATCATCATTTTAACCAACAAAACCCCAGCTTTATAAAAATGAGTATTGTTTTTGGTTCCTGTTTGATGTATGTTTTGTACTGTTATATTGTATAACAAATTACACAAAATTTGATATCAACAGTCACTCTTTATCCAAGATTTCAGGCTTTCATCAGAGATTTAATGGTTCTGACCCTTACGTCACATCCAATCCCTGATAAAGGGCTATAAGCCTTGGATCTAGAGTGACTGTTGATATTTATTTTATTATGTTTCCTGTATTATGAACATTGTGATAGATATTTAGGAAAATTGTTTTTTTGTATATTGACAGCAAATCACTGACAACCCCAAGCTATTTGTGGAGGGAGCCAGTGCTGGGGACGTTACTCAGGGTCGCCTTGGTAACTGCTGGTTTGTCGCCGCCTCCTCTTGTCTATCAGCAAACAAAGATGTCTGGGACAGGGTGAGATAATGTTTTATCACATAATTCTTTGCTTAAGAAGTTAAGACCTATGTATACCTATATGTACACATACCAGGGACTTATCACACACCTTTCTAAGCCAGTTAACAAACACTTTCACACTTATTCACAGTGGCGAAAAATGTTTTAATCAACTTTGTGAAAATAACTCGTATGCTTATGATGTACTTACTAAATCACTTTAAAATCACTTTTAACTAACTAGAACCTCCCATTAAGATTTGACATTTTAAAAACTGATAAAACCTTTTGTTATTTGTTATCAACATATGAAAATTATCAATTTTCCCAGTTTTGTTGTTGAATTTCATATTCTCATCTATAAGATGTCATGACATATTGTGTTATGGTATTTTCAACCTGAACGGCTGGCTGGCTGGCTGACTGGCTGGCTGGCTTTGTGTTGATACATATTTTGAATATGATTATCAGAGTTTAATTAAATCGGAAAAGGGAGACAATCCCTATACAGAATTTTATTGTACTTTTGCTTGAAGTTTTGACCCAAGATCAATTTTCTAACATTCCAAAAAATCACAAATGTGAGAATATTTTGGGTAAGGGAAATTGTTCTCCTGTGCTTGAAGTGATCTGTTGTTCGTACTCTGATTTTACATGTGATATTTCTGTACAGGTAATCCCAGACTGGCAAGACCAGGAATGGGATGACAATGATACTGACAAGTATCAGGGAATATTTCATTTCCGGTTCTGGAGGTATGGAGAGTGGATAGACATTGTCATTGACGATATGTTACCCACCATCAACAATGAACTGGTCTTTATTCACTCCCAGAGTAAGAATGAATTCTGGAGTGCCCTGCTGGAAAAAGCCTATGCGAAGTAAGTGCTAACAACCTAGTTCTATTAAGGGTCCCTGCCCCACTGCAGGCAAAACACTAGAGAGTTCCACTGTAGTTTTTCGTATGTACCGTGACCTCCCTATAATTTTGTTTTGGATATTATAATTGTAGCACGAGTGGGCCAGGGTACTACACCTGACTAGGTAGTTCAATTGGTTAGAGTGACAGTTTAATGATTGTAGCTAGAGTCCAGGCTTTGGATCTTGGTCTGGCTCTTATTGGAAATGATTTATCAAAGCTATAGTCATGCAGAAAAAAATGGTTTCAAATGCACTGCCAAGTTCCATTTTTCAGCATAATTTCTATGTTGTAGGCTATTTGGTTGGTATGTTGAGAGTTTGGTTGGTATTTATGGGTTTGGTTGCTATGTAAGGATCAGGTTGCTATGTTGAGAGTTTGGTTTCTGTTTGTGGGTTTGGTTTCTATGTATGAATCTGGTTTCTATGTTGAGAGTTTGATTGGTATGTATGGGGTTGGTTTCTTTGTATGGATCTGGTTGCTTTGTTGAGAGTTTGATTGGTATGTATGGGTTTGGTTGCTATGTAAGGATCTGGCTGCTATGTTGAGAGTTTGGTTGGTATGTATGGGTTTGGTTGATATGTAAGAAATATGGTTACTATGTTGAGATTTTGGTTGGTATATATGTGTTTCGTAGCTATGTAAGAATCTGGTTGCTATGTTGAGAGTTTGGTTGGTTTGTTTAAACATATTTTATTGACAACATATTAACAAAGGGATTACTGTTTTAAATTATTTAATTTCTGTTTTGTAGGCTGTTTGGTTACTATGCTACGAGTTAATTACTGTTTCACATTATTTAATTTCTGTTTTGCAGGCTGTTTAGTTGCGATGTTTTGAGTAAATTACTGTTTTACATTATAAACTCACCTGGCCAAGCGAGCTTATGTCGTGGTGCAACATCCTTCGTCCGTCTGGCGTCCATCTGGCGTCCGTCGTCAATATTTTACTTTAAACAACTTTTTCAAAATAACCAAAAGGCCTGGGTGATGATATTTGGCCAGAAGCAAACTGGGATGAAGGCCTAGGGCTTCCAAGTTTGTTCAAATAAATGACCTTCACCTATTTTCAAGGTCACGGGGATCAAATGTCTTAAAAAATCTTTAAACAGTTTCTACTGAATAACTAAGAGGCCTTGGCTAATAAAATTTGGCAAGTAACATGCTGTGATACAGGACAAACAAGTTTGTTCAAACGAATGACCTTGACGTATTTTCAAGGTCACAGGGGTCAAATATGTTTGAAACCTTTAAACAACTGAATAACCAAGAGGCCTAGGATAATGATATTTGGTCAGTAATTTGCTAGAATGAAGGGCTACCAAGTTTGTTCAAATGAATGATCTTTACTCATATTTAAGGTCACAGGGGTCAAATATGTTTAAAACCTTTATACAACTTCTTCTGAATAACCAAGAGGCCTAGGGTTATGATATTTGGCAAGTAGCATGCTGGGATAAAGGGCTACCAAGTTTGTTAAAGTGAATGACCTTGACTTATATTCAAGGTCACAATGGTGAAATATGTTTTAAACCTTTAGATGATTTCTTCTAAATTAGCAAAAGGCCAAGGGTGATGATATTTGGCCATTGACAAGTGAGATTAATACCAGGAGAGCGATTCAGGCCCATTGGGTCTCTTGTTTAATTTCTGTTTTGTAGGCTGTTTTGTATGTTGTGAGTTAATTACTGTTTTACCGTTATTCCTTTTCTGTTTTGTAGGCTGTTTGGTTGCTATGTTGTGAGTTAATTACTGTTTTACCGTTATTCCTTTTCTGTTTTGTAGGCTGTTTGGTTGCTATGTTGTGAGTTAATTACTGTTTTACCGTTATTTAATTTCTGTTTTGTAGGCTGTTTGGTTGCTATGAGGCCCTAGATGGGGGAGAGCTGGGTGAGGCTCTGGAGGATTTTACCGGTGGTGTTTCTGAACAGGTTGACCTAAAAGGTCTGGACCTAGCAAACAAACCAGAAGAGCGTGCTGACTTGTTTGAACGAATGAAGAAACAGATGGACAGGAAATCCTTGATGGCGGCCTCTATACCAGTATGTATTTTATCCTGTAACGCTAATCTTTTGTAATATTTGTCTGTCCAGTCCCTCTTTTATATTGTTTATATGAGAAGAAAATTTTCAGTTAATTGTGAAGGCAAATTTTGTAAATAATTATTGTAGAATATCTATGGTTAAATGTCCTTTGAATGCCAAGGTTTTTTATTAGCTCACCTGGCCCGAAGGGCCAAGTGAGCTTATCCCATGGTGCAGTGTCGGCGTCCGGCGTCCGGCAACTTTTTCCTTTAAAATGCTACTTGTCCTGAATGGCTCAGAGGATTTTGACCAAATTTGGTCAGGAGCATCATTGGCCAAAGGGTTCTCAGTTTTGTATAAACGGAGGGTATAACCCCCCTGGGGGCAGAGGGGCGGGGCCAAATAGGGGGAAAATAGGTAAATCTTTAAAAATCTTCTTCTTCTCAACCAATAGAAGGATTTTGACCAAATTTGTCCTAGAGCATCTTTGGACAAAGAAGACTCAAGTTTGTATAAACGGAGGGTGTGGCCCCTCTGGGGGCGGAGGGGCGGGGCCCAATAGGGGAAATAGAGGATTTTTTTTCTCCTGCTATACAAGTGAAGGGATTTTAACCAAATGCAGTCTGAAGCATGATTAGGGACAAAAGAATCAATTTTGTATAAACTGAGGTGTGTGGGCCTCCTTCTAAGGGCAGATGGGTGGGGCCCATTAGGGGAAATAGAGGAAAACATCAAATATCCTTCTCCTTTTGTACCGATGAAGGGATTTTGACCAAATTTGGTCTGGAGCATCATTGGCCAAAGGGTTCTCAGTTTTGTATGAACGGAGGGTATGGTCCCCCTGGGGGCAGAGGGACGGGGCCAAATAGGGGAAAATAGGTAAATCTTTAAAAATCTTCTCCTCAACCAATTGAAGGATTTTGACCAAATTTGTCCTAGAGCATCTTTGGACAAAGGAGACTCAAGTTTGTATAAACGGAGGGTGTGGGCCTTCTGGCGGCATAGGAGCGGGGCCCAATAGGGGAAATAGAGGATTTTTTTTCTCCTACTATACAAGTGAAGGGATTTAAACCAAATGCAGTCTGAAGCATGCTTAGGGAGAAAAGAATCAATTTTGTTTAAACTGAGGTGTGTGGATTCCCCTTCTTTGGGGCAGATTAGTGGGGCCCATTAGGGGAAATAGAGGAAAACATTAAAGATCCTTCTCCTTCTGTACCGTTGAAGGGATTTTAACCTAACCAAACTTGTTTTAGAGAATCTTTGGGCAAAGGGAATTGAATATTTATAAATGGAAGATGCAACTTTGTTACTTGTACTCCTTTGATAAACCTGAATGGTACTCAGCAGGTTTTAAATTGAAAAATAAAATACCAGATGAGCTATTAAGGCCCCTGGGCCTCTTGTTGAATATTGTGTTCACTATAAACATATGCTTACTGGACTTATTTATGTCACTGTAAATTGAATTATCATGTGTAGAAATATTCCCATGGTGATTCTTTAAGCTGATTATGGTATGAACATTTTAACAATGACAATGTTTTTCGATCAATACATTCTTTACATCTCTAATCTATAAATTAATATTTCCAAATGGATATTTTTGTGCTAATTTACTCAACACAAGAAATAGCATTTCCACACCACCAAAATGTCCACTTTTAAAATACAATCTGGACTTGGTAAAGAGAAACTTTAAAAAAACAAAACATTATGCAGTTGTCTGCATAAAAATGTTGGTACCAATTTGTTTTGTTCAATTCAAGTAAAATTCTTTTTGTATTTGTGCCTCAGGCAGAGAGCAGTGAGGAGATGGAAGCATCGACAGACATTGGATTGGTAAAGGGCCATGCTTACGGAATTACTGCTGTCAAAAACATTCACCTTGAGGGGTCTTCTGGTCTGTTCAACTTTTTCAGAAGGGAAAAAATCCCCATGGTCCGTCTAAGGAATCCCTGGGGAGAGAAGGAGTGGAAAGGAGCGTTCAGTGATGGGTAAGCAAGTGGAAATGTTGGGGCCCTCAATGATTTGGGGGGAGGGGGGTGTTGCAGGTGGCCCACAGTGATGGGTAATGATGAAAGAGTAAGCCTTCTATGATAGGTTGGTGGGGAGGGGATAGGGCCTGATGTAATGAGGAAAGAGTAGGCCTTCTATGATAGGTTGGTGGGGAGGGGATAGGGCCTGATGTAATGAGGAAAGAGTAGGCCTTCTATGATAGGTTGGTGGGGAGGGGATAGGGCCTGATGTAATGAGGAAAGAGTAGGCCTTCTATGATAGGTTGGTGGGGAGGGGATAGGGCCTGATGTAATGAGGAAAGAGTAGGCCTTCTATGATAGGTTGGTGGGGAGGGGATAGGGCCTGATGTAATGAGGAAAGAGTAGGCCTTCTATGATAGGTTGGTGGGGAGGGGATAGGGCCTGATGTAATGAGGAAAGAGTAGGCCTTCTATGATAGGTTGGTGGGGAGGGGATAGGGCCTGATGTAAATAGGAAGGCTGTAGGTCTTGGTAATTGGTAGGGGAGGGGGGAGTGGTGGGTAAAAACTGTAGGACTTGGGACTTCAATGATAGGCAGATTGTGAGAGATTTAGGAGGAAAGCATTTCAGTGAAGATTACATAGCAGGATTAGCTCCTTTCTAGAGGCAGATATACAGAAGGAGTAGCCAGGTCCTGATATTTTATGGGAAGTGAAGGGGTACCCATATAAATTTACTAGTAACACTGAAGTAGGGTTTTATGGGAAGTGAAGGGTTACCCATATATATTTACTAGTAACACTGAAGTAGGGGATGGAGTGAGGACTTCCAAAGGGATGAGGAGAGAACACATAGCTAGCTATTTATAGACATTTATATACAAACTTGAGCTTTGGTGAGATGCTATCATTGTGTCTCAATGTTAGAGTGAGAAACTGGATTTTTCTGTTTAGCACAGCTACTGCCGACTTTTGGCAATTTCTGATACTTTTATTAGTCACCATTGGTACTACATATATATAGCTAACAGAGGGGACCATAGTCCTCTAGTTTTCATCTGGATTGGCCTCTGTCTGTTCGCAGGCTATCTTAAATATTTATGGACCGATTTGTATAAATCTTTGCCGTAAGATATGTCATTTGAGATGATACAAACTGATACTGATTTTGAAGATTGCCTCGATCTGCATGAATTGGTAATTAATGTTGCTGAAACAGGAAACAGATTTGTAATTCGTTGATCATTTTGTTGGCTAACTTAGATATAAACTGACTAGAAGACTTGATATAAAGTTCTTGCAAAGATGTCATGGATCTTTGCATGATTAATCTAATCATGTTAACTTGCATAGCTAGCTGATTTTTGATTGACAATGTCAAAAAAGTTTTATCATCATCAATGTCTGATGTATTTTTGCGATCTTGATCCCTTCTAAATTTTACATTCAGCTCTGCAGAGTGGAACAAGATCTCTAAGGACGACCGACAGAAGATCGGGCTTACATTTGAGGATGATGGAGAATTCTGGTAAAATTTGGTACAAAATAACTAACAAGAAGTTGAGATTATAAATATTTGGCTTCTGAATGTTTTAAAACTTTTGAATGTTACAAAGAAGCATTTGTTGATGCAGTTCATCAGAAAAATCTGTTGATCTTCACATAATTCCTAAGTGATGTAATGTACTTATTTGTATTCAGGACCACTGAGGTTCTGTTAGTGCTTTGTGTATGCAGGAAAGCATTGATGCACTTATTGTTAACTTCAAAATGACAAATTTTGTGTCCTTCCCAAGAGGTGTCTAGGGACATGAAAACTCTTCAATAAATCACCAACACCTATAAGGTCCTCTGGGGTTCACTATAAATCACAAACACCTATAAGGTCCCTTCGGGTTCACTCTAAATCACAAACACCTACAAGGTCCTCTGGGGTTCACTATAAATCACTAACACCTATATAAGGTCCTCTGGGGTTCACTCTAAATCACAAATACCTACAAGGTCCTCTGGGGTTCACTATAAATCACAAACACCTATAAGGTCCTTTCGGGTTCACTATAAATCACAAACACCTACAACGTCCTCTGGGGTTCACTATAAATCACAACCACCTTAAAGGTCCTCTGGGGTTCACTCTAAATCACAAACACCTCTAAGGTCCTCTGGGGTTCACTATAAATCACAAACACCTATATAAGGTCCTCTGGGGTTCACTCTAAATCACAAACACCTATATAAGGTCCTCTGGGGTTCACTATAAATCACAAACACCTATAAGGTCCTCTGGGGTTCACTATAAACATGTTTACTACATCTGTATTTTGGTTAGACCAGATCAATTTGTTCTGTTAACAGGATGCAGATGGAGGACTTCTGTCGGTACTTTGTAAAGGCGGCGATCTGCTGTGTTGTCAACACGTCCATATTTGCCTTCAGTAAGACCTGGCACGAAGGTCTGGCCCACAGTAAATGGGTGAAGCCAAACAGGGCTGGCGGCTGTCTCAACCACAAAGACACATTCTTGAATAACCCACAGGTAACTGAATCATTATTGGTCGATTATATCGGTAGATAAATAACACCAGCCTTTCAGGTAATCTTTCCCTATGGAGTATATGAGATTAATCGAACACCAGCCTTTCAAGTAATCTTTCCCTATGGAATATATGAGATTAATCGAACACCAGCCTTTCAGGTAATCTTTCCCTATGGAGTATATGAGATTAATCGATCACCAGCCTTTCAAGTAATCTTTCCCTATGGAGTATATGAGATTAATCGAACACCAGCCTTTCAAGTAATCTTTCCCTATGGAGTATATGAGATTATTTTATGGGTCACCTCAGCCAACTCCATGAGTTCCTCTTGTGACAATGGATAGTAACTTTCAGAAATCAGGTCTTATGCCTCATATTTTATAGAGTAATGGCCCTTTGTTTAAGTTAGATACCAAAGTGGATCTGAAGGTAAGCATTAGGGACAGTAACATGAGATTTCTCACAAAACTTATTTTAACTATTTTAACTAGTCACAGATAGAGGATTTTTTTTCTCCCAAATGCAAATTATATTAGACTTGTCTGTGTTTTCCTGAGATTAGTTGACTCATGTCATTAGTATTTATGATATAAGAAATTGAATGAATGTTTTTACTCAACCAAAAAATTACAGCATTCCTGGGAACAAATGTCTCATAAACATCAAATTTTGTTTATCCTGAGAATTCATTTATCCCAAATATTTGATGAAAACAAAGGTGTCTCCTTTTTAAAAAGGTTCGCCTGTACAAGAGACCAACTGTTAATGTGTGATATGCTCTCTGCTCTCTATATTGTAGTTCACATTTGAGATCACGGACAAGGAAGATGAACCAATGTTCCAGCTAACACAGAAGAGTACTCGTGGGTCAGGTGGCAGTCGTAACATGACCGTTGGCTTCTCCATCATTAAGGTACAGCAGTATATATATATATTGACGTTCTGTGTTGGATTTGCCTATGTGTCGTTAGTAAACCAAATTCCAGTATATGAGACTGTATACTGCAATTTACAGTGATTCGGTCAGTGTAGGAACATAGTATATACATGGCCACCAGATACTTTCGGTATCAATAGGCCTATAGTCAGATAACTTTCTGGGTTCGTTATAGCATTAAGCAATAAAGGTCATCGCAAAAAAAAGCAACTTCACAAATAATGACAATATCAATTTATTATAAGATGTGTAGGTACCACAAAATTATTGTAAGTGCCATTCTAGATATGAAATTACCAAGTTTGTCAACGTCGTCACACAGGGGCTCGGTTTCGAGATTTTGAGTTATGCATAACATCAGTGAATAACCACAACACTAAAATTCAGCATTTATAAAACCTTGTAAAAGTCGAGGGTATTGACAAGGTTTTAAAATGTGTATAAATACCTTTTTAAGTGTTTTGGTTCTTCAGTGATGTCATCCATTACTCAAAATCACCAAACCGAGCCCCTGTGAACGTCGTCTGCTAGCGATGCTAATCTTACCGATAAGACATGGAATCTGTTTCAAACGAAATGTCCTTGGAGTCGTTATCACCTACTGAAAGGACCACTTTAATTATAAAAAGATATGCTTCCGAAAATAACGTAATATTCCAGTTGATGGAAACATAAGCGTTTTTGAGGAAACAATCAAGTCCGTTCAGCGCCGCATCACTTCCAAATACCCCCGGTACATGTAATCTATCAATGCGCGAAAAACAGCTTTAATTTTAAACAAGCAGAAGTTATGCAATTATTAACAATTTTTCAACATATGTACACTCATACGAAATAAATAATAAAGTTAAGTTTGTGTTAAAACCATTTTATGTGCGTGTGGTTTGCAATGACACGAGGGACTATATTATTTCTTCTGAAAAATTTGGCTGTTCTGGGATTTGAACTTACTGACGTCACTGATATGATAAGCGGGAAATTCAAACGTATTTTTGCTTCAGTTACTATACAAAACAAACTTTATAAATGTAAATATAGGCATTGAACTGTTACAAGATGCAGTATACAGTCGACATTCTATTTGTCTGTCACCCAAATTGCACTCATATCGACTGTATACTGCATCTGGTAACAGTTCAATGCTTAAATAAACTCTACGTGTAAATCATAATATGCATGTAATACATTTATTGCTCTTGTAGTAGGGAATTTTTTGTTTCCCTTTGATTAAAAATTATGTTTCATTAGGGCACACCACAGGTGAAACAAGATTGATCAAGGGGAAACTAAGAAGTATGTTTCCCTAAGACAAGGGTTTTAAACTTGTTATTACATTGCAATAGAAAATTCACACAGCATTAAACATCACCAGTCAGGCTTACATCCCATTGCTACAATCTGCTACAGCTACTCAGAACTCAGATGTGATACCTCTCGGTTTTAGAAAGGACCAAAATGAGGGAAATATGAACAGGGAAACTAGAGCATGAGAGGGAAGCACAAGTATTTAGATCTCCTTATGTTCATCTCAATCCAATCAGATATGTCTTTATATAGATACTTGTAATAAAATTGGTAGGTAGTGTAAGTTACTCTTAATAGGGTGAAGGATTAATTCACAGGGTTATGAGAATCACTATTTACAGTTAAAGAGGTATCTATTATATTCTCTACATTTCTAGTGAAAATGCAAAAAGAGAAGCTCGCATCCCATTCATTTTCTCTACCAAACAGGAAAACAAACTAAATACGATGAGAACATAGTGATAGATAGCTTAGTTTTAAAACAACTGGAGAAGAGTCCAACAAAGAGTGAATTCATTTTAAAAAGTAAGAGGGTAAAAATTGTAATATTTACAGTATCACTTGTGTAAACTTAGGTGGAGGAAAACCGACGCTATCGTATGCATGACATGAGTCAGCAAGAAATGGTCACCTCTAGTGCATTCAGGGACAGCCGGGCAATCTTCCTGCGCCACAAGCTTACTAAAGGTCGTTACGCTATTGTGGCCTGTACGTTTGACCCTGGGAATGAGTGCGACTTCCTTCTGAGAATGTACACAAGCTCTGCTAACAATTTCAAGTAAGTTCTCTGATTACCAAAATAAAATAAGTAAAACAGACAATGGCTCATCTAAAAATGAATACATGTATTTTACATCATAAGTAACATAATTTTTACCTGGCTTGGCCTTCATTGTCAGGTTTCAGGCTTTTCTCATATGTAACTCTAGATAAGGTCATGATGCTATATTACTTTGTCATCAACTCGGGGTACATATAGATATCTATAATAATGTTATGTTGTCATTGTTACAGGCCCCTGATCTATGAAAAGCCACAGAAAAACTGGTGGCACTGTTGCGGTGGTAGCATACAGTTGGTGACGAGGGTCAAGGTCATGAGGGCAGAGGGGCTAGAGCGCCAAGAAAGGACAGGTGAATGAGGATTTATCTTGCACATTTCTTATAATGTAGAACAATACCAGTCACATCATTTCGTAAACTTGTCAGCACCAGTGAATTCTTGTGTGGAGTGACTCCTCAGCACCAGTGAATTCCTGTGTGGACTGACTCCTCAGCACCAGTGAATTCTTGTGTGGACTGACTCCTCAGCAACAGTGAATTCCTGTGTGGAGTGACTCCTCAGCACCAGTGAATTCCTGTGTGGACTGACTCCTCAGCACCAGTGAATTCCTGTGTGGACTGACTCCTCAGCACCAGTGAATTCCAGGGTGGACTGACTCCTCAGTACCAGTGAATTCCTGTGTGGACTGACTCCTCAGCACCAGTGAATTCCTGTGTGGACTGACTCCTCAGCAACAGTGAATTCCTGGGTGGCCTGACTCCTCATTTGTAAAACAACAATGCTGTAGTGTGGTAGAGAGAATGTGACTGTTGTCTTTTATGTTTTTATAATTTACTCCTGTTAATTTTCAAGTTTTAAGATAACAAACTTAAAGAAAAATTTGGTAAATATGATAAGCAATTGTATTCTTTACATTCATTATATAAACTGTAATTGAAGGACAATATCTTAGGTGACTTTCACTTTATATACCTGGTAATAAAATTAATATCATACAGATGGTTAGACTTACAGGGAAACAATTGTGGATGGAAGCACTTCCCTTTCTCCTCTCGGCGCTCCCCACCACTCACAAATATTTCCAAAACGACTGTTGTATTCATTTTGTATGTTTGAATGTTGTACACAATAATTTTTGATATTTAATATTTTATTTTGTGTTTGAAACGTTTCAGGTGCTGACCCTTACTGTGTGATCTCGTGTGAGGGTGAGAAAGTCACTACCAAGGTCGTAGATGATACCACATGTCCTGAATGGAACTCTTCTGCCATCTTCTACCGAAAAACAGCTCTCAAAAAACCTTTAAAGATCCAGGTCAGTTCATCTAATAAAACAAGCATTTTCTGTGGGTGATCAGTTGATTCTTTGACAGATTTTCACAATGATGTGCCTTAATAATGACGGTTTAGAACCATATTGCATTACATAGTTAGGGCCCCGTATCGGAGATCTATATGGGTGCCCTATAGTAATCACTCTGTCTGTCTGTCGGTCTGTCTGTCTGTCCGTCCACAAATTTTGTTCCTGGCTGATATCTTTAGTATTTATTGACCGATGTGCATGAAACTTGGTCAAGATGTTCAGTTCATAAAAAATACACATTGAGGTAAAAAGTCAAGGTCAAAGGTCAAGGTCATTAGGTTCAAAGGTCAAGGTCAAATTTTGTATCTTTTCACTGGTGAACATTTCGCTATGACACTTTGAAGCAATGTTGCTCAGAATTAAACAAGGAGTTAATTGACCAAAGGTCAAGGTCACTTTGTCAAAGGTCAAGGTTAAAATGTTGTACCTTTTCCCTGATGAACATTTTGTGTTGACATTATGAAGCAATGTTGTTCAGAACTTAACACAGAGTCAACAGACCTTAGTTCAAGGTTACTGGGTCCAAAGGGTCAAGGTCAAGTTTTATTTTTTTCACTGATGAACATTTTGTTATGATATTAAGAAGCAAAGTTGGTCTGAATTAAAGAATAAGTCAACTGACCAAAGATCAGGGTCACTGGGTTAATGGTCAAGGTCATTTGGGTCCAAAGGTCAAAGACAAAGTGGATCTCTGACTTTGACCCTGGCTCTTGATGGAGAAGGTATATAAGGTGAAATAAAAAAAATCAAAGCTAACAAATGAGTATTGCACCGGTAATCATATTTCTGTTAGCCCAGCAAATATGGAGGTGGAAGGAAACACATCACATCATAGTACATGTAAAATGTATATTTTTCTTCCTTGCGATTCTTTTTGAAGTCCAAATGTCAAACGTCAAGCTCAGCTATATGGGCAGATTGCTTCTTGATGATTATGGGGGATATAATTGCCACAAGACGGGGCCCTTACTGACCTGTCAGTGTTCTAGTTTGATTATGCCTGGCAGTGAAGCCAGCTACTTGATTCTGTGATATATTTTTACCAAGTATTTTATTCATTATTTTTAGATCTGGAACAGCAATGTGCTCCGGGACACCTACATGGGCAAGCACGTGTTCACCAGCGTTGACGAGTGTCGCGACAAGATCTCCGCTGTTGGATTGGTACAGCGTGGGAAGCAGGGAGACAAGGTCGCCAGTGGACAGCTCTACGTACAGATAACACAGACAAAGAAAGTCATGTCGCTGTAAATAAAGGGAGATAAGGTCGCCAATGGACAGCTCTACGTACAGATAACACGGACAAAGAATGTCACGTCACTGTAAATAAAGGGAGATAAGGTCGCCAATGGACAGCTCTACGTACAGATAACATGGACAAAGAATGTCACGTCACTGTAAATAAAGGGAGATAAGTCACAGTAATAAACAGATCAGGCATACGAAAGAATGTCATGGTGTTACCAATAAAGGGTGATAACTCACAACTACGCATAGTCACAGTGACAGTTTTACTGGTCAGACAGTATTGACCTCTTGTAATATATATAACACATTGTAATACAGGATCATTGCAGATTTTGGAGGGTTTGAAAGTATCTCAATTCAGGAAAGGTTTTCTAAAAACCATTCCTAGCGTTTTATAAATATCAATATTAAAACTTTATTTCCCAAATAAAGATATTTCTTAGATGAAATTTTCCATCTAGGAAGGAAAATTTATATTTTAAAATGTCAAATTACCTGTAAAATGGAGAAAAAGGAAATAGGTTTATCAACTTCTTCGGATTATCAAGGGTAAAATAATGGTGACCTTAAAAAGTTTACTGTCTTTAATTTCTTACAAAATGTTAGGTATCCTAGGTTACTGGATACAACTGTACACACAGGTCCTAGGCCTGGCTGCCATGTATGATTTAGATACAGAGAATAGTCTATGCCTATCGATGTATTGTCCTTTACATTCTTCAAAATTGATGTTTCGCGAAAGAAGTTGATACCTGTTGATATTAATAGGCTTTAGAATGCAATAATTAGGTTGTATGGTGGATATTTAGATGTTTAACATATTATTTACAGCTTAAAGCTGAGTGTGTTCATGAAAGGTATTTTATAATGAATTTTGATTCACTATGTGAATTTATTGATCTTCAAAAGTCTATTCATTTATTATGAATCTTCAGTAAAATATTAATATTTCAAATACTTTTCGTGTGCTTGCTCTATTTGTGTGTCACAGCACCTTCTATAATAATTTCCTTGGATATAAAATTAAATTAAATGCTAATGTCAATCTTTCAATTTTTTTCATAATTTTACATGTAATTTGTTTTAATAATGTGTGATACTCACATTTACATTTTGATGCTGCTGAATTGGAATATTTTCCTGCTGTTGAAGATATTTTGTACAGTACATGTTTGTGTTTTTAAAAATGCTCAAGGAAAGATCAAATAAAATGAGATATATTTTATTAAATAATAGATAGAATGTTTTTAAATAGATTTTGGAAATGAACAAACTTTTTTTGAGGCTATTTTCTGTGTGATCTTTGGTGATGCGTCTGGTGTACTAGTTATAACAACATGTATAATGACCTTTAAGAGGTCAGACTCCTAGAGCATTCATATCATCTTACATAGATCATTTAAAATCACCAGGGATTAACAAATTAATAATAATAATTGGAGGTCCTTATATACCGCTTTATCACAGCCTAGTTTGTAGGTCGTCTCAATGCGGTTCACAAATTATTATCCATGGAATATAGCGCTTTGCAACCAGCCAATATCTTTCTCAACTCCCTAGGGAGCATGCAGGCGGTGCTGCCATTTTGGCGCTCACAGCTAGCATTCAACAATTCTAGCACTGCCCAACCACGTACTCTTTACAGCTTAGTAGACTGGAACAAGCGGAGTAAAGTATTAACAATAATATGAAGCCTTGAAGTGTAATGATAACTTGAGTTCACATCCTCAATTGTCATTTAAACATCCAGTCTTGATGTGAAAATGAAATAAAAGATTTAAAGTAAACAAGACTAGGAATGTAACTATTTCACAAATGTCTAGTTAAGATCATTTCAATAAAAGACATGTTTCTGCCAGTATTCTTATCATGGGTTAAAATACATTTGTACTAGCAAAATATGCTGTTTGACGAAAAGACCTCAAAAAAATTACATATATCATTATGGATAATAAAACGGTTTACAATGAATCTCTTTGTATACATATAAAGATCAGAAATCAAGTGTTCAATTTTACTATGCAAAGTATTTTTAGAGGAAAACATGTTGCATGTTCTATGTTCTTGCCTACAATGATATTTTTGTATAATGTCTCAACTATGATTTTCCTATTCAATCGAAATAATAATTTTGAAATATAATGTCTGCATATATGTACATATATTTTGTGACATTATTGCTGATTCTGTGTTTTAGTTTAACCAGTTTAACGTTTCATGCTTCGTACCTTGCATATACCTACGCTACCTTACCCATTGTATATACTTACCAGGTGTGATTTGTATTTGAGTTAAGGTTGTATGGTACCTTAGAATAAAACATATAATTTGTACTTGAGTTAAGGTCGTACATGTATGCTACCTTAGAATTATACGTATAATTTGTGAAACAACTTAAGGTGGTATGCTACCAGCTGATACTCCCGGTGATCAGTAAGAGAGTTAAAGTCATATATGTTACCTTACATATTATACCTATGATTTGTTTTAGAACTTTTTCCCTTGAATGAAGTCAGGCATTGATGTTTCTGAATTATTGTAATGTCATCAATGAATTCAATTATAATAAAATAAAAATGTATCATTGATCCGTGCCAATTGCTTTTTACGATAGACCTGTAGTATGGTACTATCTTGGATGTAACAGTCAAGTAGCATATATCCTGAAGTTGTTAGAATTATAACAAATTAATAAAATATCTTATATTCTTTTTATCATCTGATTCTGGAGAAAAAGGGGGATATTAATTTGGGTGCATCCGTTTGCCATGCATGTCTTCCGTGCCATAACCTCTTAAAATGGTTCATTTTCAATCAAATGAAGCCTGCATATTCATAATTGTATGTATCAAGCCAAGTTTGATTGACAGATCAATGCATATTTACACATAATGAATGAAGTTACAATTTGATGCGTGAATAATTTAATTGGTTTACATGCAATAACTCCCCGAAAAATGTTTAATATTAACCAAATTTGTTTATGTATAATTGATGAGGCTTATGACCTCTGGTTGGTTTCTGTTCAATAAATCCTCTTACAACTGATCAATTTCAACCAAATTCAACATGCAAATGCTGTTCACTTGGTGTCAAGAAACGCCCATGACTGTTTGCCAGTTTATACGTTTTTGATAATCATACATACAATTTCCTTAGAAAACTGGATATTTCCTCAGCATGTCTGCTTAAGATTCTCAATTGAATAGTATGTCTACACCAAATCGCAATAATGAACATTGTAACGTACACAGCAGGTCTTGCAAGCAAGGGATAGAATCAGAATTTGTTGATATGGCTTTGACGTTTAATTTGATTATGTTCAGACATGTATATCAATAACAAACTAAAAGTAGTGTAAACGTTTAGGAAGGAAGTGTTATTTTTTCTAGGAAGCAGTTAAAAAAGATGTTCTAGTTGATGATGAGATGACATATAACAGCTTTTGAAATACTTCCAGAATAACCTAAAATATAATCAACAGTCATGTCTTGTTGGTGATCCTCTAGCTGGCTGTACATGTACATGAGGATCTCTTGGTACTGTGTTTTTTGCACCATCTTGCTGCTCTTGATATTTGTGCATGATTTGTTGTATTTTTTTATCATTGGTTTCCATGTTTCTTTAGTAAGATTTTGTAAATTATATACCAAATTTTATTTTATTTTTAATGTAGACATTAATAATTGTATACATGAGTTAACTGGTAGAGTGTCTGCTATTTGTAGAAGCATAAGATTTGGTGTCAGAATTTGAAATGGTTGACCATAAAATTTGCTTGTCAGAAGGAGTACCTGCATTTATCTTGAATTGATTGCTTTATGTTGAACTTCCTATTAATATTAATTTTTTAATTTTAATTGCCTGGTACATATTGCTGATTTGTATTTAAAATTGCTTGATATGTATGGACTACTTTGTATTTACTACAAAATGTATGAATAATTATATAACTCCTTTGTCATTTATGTATTGCTATATATGTATTATTTTTCCCACTTTTGTGAACATTTTTGTAATACTACGTTCATACCCTTTTACCTACAGCATGCTATTATATTTATTTTTACAATAATATCCAATTTATTTATCAATAATTTCTGCTTTCCATTATAGTTCAAACACAATGTCCCTATGTTTAAGTGAGTGACAAAAGAGAAATTTCAAAGAATTTTTGGATGCCCTTCTTTCATTTCAACAAATTTTATTAGATGGTACATTGTCCTTGAAAATATTGTTCAACACACTGACCCTATCAGTTCTCAGAGGTGCTTGTTCACTATCTAAAAAATGCTTTTTATGTTATTCTCCTTTTCGTGAAGTTAGTTGTAATCTTTGTTTACCAAACAATAACAGTGGCACCATAGAGAAAGATCCTATTACATATAAAAGCAGGGTTTGCTTCCCCTCTATAAAAGTAGAGTAAGTCAGCCTGCCGGGATAACTGTAACAACATGTAGGGCCGCTGTACCAGTGTATGGTGAACAAGTATGAAATGGAAAGAAAAGCTTTTACACAACAGCTCTGAGACTTGTACGAATTGTATGTTAAATTTGATGTTGAATATTTTGGGTCATTAAAGACCGCTACTATAGCTGTACAATATGTTTACTGAAATGTTGTATTCATAGTTTGGGTAAATAGCAGTATTTAGAATTTTTATATCAGACATCATACAATGTGGATAACTAAAGCACAACCTTATTGCTGACAAAGTGCAGGTCACAAGGATGACATTTGATGATAAGATGAAAGTCATAATAATGACATCATTTTTGACAATGTGAAGGTCACAGTTATTACCTTTAGCCCGAGGTCCTCTGATTCTTATAGATGTCTACACCAGACATCTATTATTACCTAATACTTGTGTAAAATAACCTTGTGTTAAGTGACTTCGGACTTCTGTGTTGTGCGAGAAACAATAGATCTAACTTGTGATAGACGATTTTGACTTGTATCCATTCTAACTAGTATAGTCTACATGCAGCAGTGATGCTGAATCTTGTAGGTATAATATTTGATAACTCGGTCGAATGGATTCAAATCAGAATCGTCCCTCACTGGATATTATCTATACACAAGAATATATATTTATAAACTTCAGTGTTTTATTTGAAACGTTATACCACGGAATTAGATTAGGTCTAAGTCCGTGGTTATACCTTCAAGACAAAAACAAACAATTACATGAATGTAGGATATACAGTGTATTAAATTTGTCAATACTATATTATAGCTAGTAGTTGTTAAAACACATTAAATAATGTCCATTTAGATTTATACTTATTTATTGTAAGTCTATGGTGTGTTAAATCAGAACACATATAACAAGTATGCTTTGATAGAACTGTATAACAAACATACCGTATGAGAATTATATAGCAATAACTTTATGGAACAGGGTAAAAATATAATTATCTGTACCTCTAGCAGTTATACGTACATATTATAAGCTATAGCATGCTGAAGTCATTCTGATTTGTAAATACTAGTCGTAACTTAAACAAGAGTTGTTCAGTCGTCTTTGTTTCCTAGTTTATGTATTAACTGTAGTAGTTTAACCCAAAGATGGGCCAGATACACCTCCTAACTCAAACATGTTGTTTATCCTGGCTGTTTCCCTGTATAAACTTTGTTGACCCAAACGAAAATGAAATTACACCTGCTAACTCAAAGAGGTACTGGTAATGTGGTCCTAACAGTTTCCGTGTTTTTCATTCCAAAACTCTAATATATAATTTACCTGGTTTTCAAATAATGAATGAAAAAATGTGCAATATGTGAAATTTGTGAACAAAATAACTGCATTTTTTTTTTAGATTTAAACTACAATGCAGGACATGTTTACAGTCGGGTTGGTATAATCTATTTTGTTAATATGTTTATGAATTACAAATTTTGAAGTTTAATCCACTAGTGTTTAACGTATATTGTAGGAAATTTCCTGTATCATTATCTTCTACCTCTCATTTATCTAGATTATATCTCCCTTTTTTTATACAAATCCAGTTACCATTGGTATTGTCAAGTTTGAGTTTTGCTTAACAAAGGCTTTCTTGATATCTATTGTTAATTTAAACAGTAATTTTACTTTATTAAGACATGACATTGTTTACTAAATACAGATACGTCCAATTGAACATTATTGTGATAAAACGTTGACATAAATCATATAATTACTATTTGTTCTCAATTCCTTTTATAAGAATTAAATGGAAGATTTACACAAACATTGCATTGTGATTTAAATACTATTATATAACCTGTGTTTGAGAGTTGAGCCCATCATTACTAGGAGTTTTATTGGTATTTTGCTATGGAATGTATAACAGATATATATATCCCATGCTTGGATGAAGGGCATCTAATTTCTTTGTTCATAAGCTTCTTTAATAAAAAGTTACAATTTTCTTACGTCTTGCTTCTGATTTCATCGTTAACAAATTATCAGGAGGTACTGTACAGTATCATATGAAGGATCTGTATAAGGAGACAATAATTTGACATTAGTAATTCACATACTTTGTTTAAATTATAAGACCCAGTAGTAAAATATGTAAAGAACCATGAGTGAAGTAGAATTCTGCATTTACCCATACTCATGTGAATGTCACACAATTGAAAGTCTTTAAGAGAAGAATTATATATAGGTTAAATTGTTTTTGTCCAATAAAATTTGTTGGAATAAAAAAATGTCACAAAATCTGTAGTCTAGACATTTTACTTATAATCATGTGTATGTCACACAATCTGTAGTCTAGACATTTTACTAATAATCCTGTGAATGTCGCACAATCTGTAGTCCAGACATTTTACTTATAATCCTGTGTATGTTGCACAATCTGTAGTCTAGACATTTTATAATCCTTTGTATGTTGTACAATCTGTAGTCTAGACATTTTACTTAAATCATCCTGTGCATGTCACACATCTTTAAATGTAAATGATTGGTAATCATGATAAGTTTCTTTTGTCTCTGATTCCCATGTCATTGTCATGGTTACTAGATATACTAGTTGTTTGGTTACAGCCGTCACACATGGCTTTACTGTAGTAGTTTGACTTTCTTACCCGGTTCCCCAAACGCTACCCATAAAACATCCTCCCTGTCTATACCTACAGCCCATGTATAGTCTGGGTCAGTGTGTATGACCCTGAGGGACTCGCCACCTCCACTGATGAGTAGGACCCTGTTGTTGTTACAGTCCCCTATGATCAGGTTCCCCACACTGTCATACACCACACCACAGGGGTTAAATGGTTCACCTCTTGGTTGTGGTGTTGGTTGATATCTACTGATGGGGATGTCACCTCTAGATCTATATACAAATTGTTCCTTGAAATCAGAGTTCATGACAACAACACCTCGTTTTCCATCACCACCATCTGTTTCACTACTGAAATCAGCGACTGCCACATTGTGAGTGACAGGACACTCCGAGATGCTGCGTGGTGTACACACTAATGGTTTCTCAGTCTCTTTAGCCATAGTAGTAGACACCATTTTACCATTTGTGGTAAATTTAGAGAATTTGGAGATGTGTTTGGTCATCCCTACAATGACATGGTTACTGGCTGCAACACATATACACCAGGGTTCCTCCTTGGTACTGAATCTGTGTGTCAGTCGTCCCGATACCAGCTCTGTGATGTTGTTGTTATGATCACAGACCCACAGTGTGTGTGTGGTGGGCGACAGACTGATATCATTGATACAGACATTGTGTGTGACCTCCTGTATTACTTTGCCCTTCCTGTCAAGGAGAGTTAATTTGTTTCTGTACTGGGTCCACACCTGACCATCAGTGGTGGGACATATAGAATAAATGGCACATGGAGACTTCCACTCCTCCACCACCTTGGTCTGTGGCAGTAGTTTGTACGTTGTCACTGCTTTCTTCCCTTTTGCTCCTGACCATTCTTGTGTAGAGGATCGTCCTTGATCATCTGACCAATACTGGTCAAAAGTTTGACCTTGACCTGAAGTGATAACTTTTCCCAAGGCTTCGTTCAAGTGATCTTGAGGATTTTCATTCTGAGTGAAGTTGGCAGTACCCAGGACAGGTTTTACAGGGAGACTTTGTGTAGGAGAATGGATCTCACAAAATGCATCATAAACCTGTATATGAGAACCAAGCTGGAGAGCTGCTTTACATTCCTGAATTTGCTGTTTGAGTTGTTTCTCATACATCTTCAGGTCCTGTTTGTATTTCTTTATCAGCTTGGTATTATCCTCTTCCATTTTGTGATAGAGAGAGAGTGTCTGTGCTGTAAGTATGTCCAGCTCTTGTTTTAATTTATTCGTTTGCATTTTTAACTTTTGTGACAGCTTCTCAAAACTACTGGCATTGTCTTTAAGGAGCGTATCAGTAGAGTTGATGTATTTCCCAATTTGCACAAGGTCATTTTTTTCTGTTCTGTCTATAAAGTTTCTTATGTCTGGTTCTTTCTGAGAAGTGATTTCACTGAGCTCACAAACTGCATGGATTTTGTGAATAGAAGAAAGGCATTTTGGACAAATCGGTTCCCGACATTTTTCACAATAAAATTCTAATCTTCTCCCATTGTGGTGAATACATGTAGTTTGACCTTCGATACGGAGAGGCATTTGGCTATTAGGGGTTGCCATTTTGATGAAGAGCTAAATTATTTGTTGAAATCTTGCAAGATGTTTGCTGTTCTTGTATAAATATATTGTTATCAGTTAACACTCGCAAATAAATACATGTAAAAACATGAAAACTGGACTAATAACTGTCCATTCCAGTAGTATATAATTGCAAAGTAATGCAAAACATTATAGAATAACTACCTTATGATCACCGTCGCATGGCTACTGTGATGATGGATCCAGTTCCACACTTCTCAATGTTCACTAACTTTAATTTGTCCATATTTATTCAGCATTTGTAGTCACAATCACATGATGAATTTCCGTCTTACTTTGTTGATAAATCTGTCATTTTCCTGCTGACATTGTATGTTTTATCAGAACTTGAGTATGTTCAGCGGAATTTGACAATGCTGCTGACTATTTAGTAATAACAACAAATTTCTGCGCTGGATACCATCAATGCACAAGACCTGCAGTTGTACGTAGTAAATAACTTCCCCGTTGCGCGAGGTTACCAACAGATATACAGTGATAATAAAGAAATAGATAGTAAAGTAGGTCAGTGGAGGTTGTGTTTTAAAGCCATAGCATTTACATACCTGGTGTGTTTGTCTAAACGCTATGTAAAATCAATAATGTGATTCCTGTTCCTTGGGTAGGTACACCGGTGTATTTGGCAACATGACATACCAGTTCTGTGGGTAGATATACCTATATATTGGGTTACTAAGATATACCACAATAACACCATATATGACGACTCCAGCACACATGCAGGCATTCATACATAGGGAGATATTAGCCAGGTGGCAAATGGGCTATTAGTTAGTGACTGAAAATTGTATTGATTAATGTATATGCTAATTTTATCGATTGTATAGATTATATATCCATGTACCAGGAAGTGCTCAAGAGTGGCTTATTCTAGCTAGATAAGGCGCTATATCAAATAATTATACCGGGTAGTAAAAAAAATTTAGAATACTACTACTACATTGTACTGAAGTAGAATTCCACATTTCGTAGTTGAATTTAACTTATTACATGTATTTGACTTCAATTAGCAGTACCATGCATGAATAATAATTTTCAGACATAACGCATAGGGCATAGATTTTGATCTTTATGTAGAGCACATTGACTAAAGTAATAAGATTCATATGTATTTTGACATTGACTCCAGCAGTACATAATTCATCCCCGATATCCAGGCGTTACGCTCACTTTCGCTCTCTGCACCCCTGGAATATGTCATGGCAAAATTGAAGGCAGGAAGATAGCTGTTCGATTTGTCTCGGGTAAAAAAACCTCACCAATCGCTAGGCTGATACCTTTCCTTTGAAGATTACAAAGGAGAGACGCCCAACTTCAAAGCCCGTTAATTTTTACCTATGACCGCCAGATTCTTTTGATGTACATCAAAGGATCGAACTAGTCTTCTCGTCTCATCAACAAGGTGGCGCACACCGAGCCTTCAATTTTTCCATGACATATTCCAGGGCCCAGGGGTGTAGAGAGCGAAAGTGAACGTAACCCCTGGATATCGAGGATGTACAGAATTTGACCCTTATGTTATTCTCATTGATGTCAAGAGTTAGACTATGGCTTGACCTCGGTAGGCAAATTCTATTTTATCATTCCTTTACTGATACAGTAAAAGTTTTCACTCTTTTAGTCCTTTTCATTTTGAGACTGCTTAGAAAACATGATGGCTACTAGGTAACCATCTTAAAAAGGACTTAGGCAGTTCATGATTTTTATATTTCCCCAAATTAACTTGCAGGTCTTTCTGAAAAATCATCTGTTGGTTCCAATCAGTTCTTAGTTGTGCCTGTATTTTTCTATATTGATGGAAAAAGATGTTTTTTTTAATTTTGAAAGTTCAGATTTGTCATGTTTTTCCTTTGACCTTTAACACAAGGTTAAAATTTAAATAGATTTGCACTGCTGACCCACCACCTTAATAGTCATTAACATAAGGAAACATCATAACTTATTGTTCTGTGAATATTGCAGTCCAAGCTATACCTGCTTCAAACTAACATGTTGGATCTGTATTTTTAAGTATTCAGTTGAAATATGTCTGTTAGCAGTTTTGGTCTACATTTAACTCAACCAAGATACATTGTGTATGTTAGAGTATAAATAAAATATCAAAGTGTCATGATTCTAGACCTTATGGTTATCCAAATGTTAAGTTCTTAATAGACTTGAGACCTCCAAGCTTCAAATTAGGTCAAGGTCAGCAAAATCAGAAGGATTAATATTGGAATGGTTTCAATGGTGAATAATCCAAATTTAGGAAATGAGGAGTACACAGAAATAAAAGACTAATGGATGATGAGATTATCTTCTGAAACAGAAGTGTGGACGGACGGATGGAACACCATGATCACTATAGGGCACCCTCACCTCTAACGTGGGAGCCCGAATTAAAAACAAAAATTATTTTAGATTTTTATTTTTTTTAATGTACATACATGGCAGAGAATTAAACACTGGATGGGTACAGCATCTGAAAAGAGAAGAAAACCATCATCAGTAACATTACAGGTATTTAACATTATGTTCTAGAACAAGTTATTTAAAATACTGACCAAATCTTTCTATTGATTAAGTATTGATATATGTGAATATTTCTGAGACCTGTTTGAGCATTTAACATAAACATTCAACACAATTGTAAACATTTTTCATAAAGTAATTGTAGGTGCTTGCATATTAGCCACCTAATAGGGTAATTATTAGAATGGGAGTATTTTTTCAACATTTGTCACTTAATAAATTGCAACTAAGAACCGAGTTCTGATTGAATATTTATAATCTTGGAACAGTCTGAAACATTCTAATAGATCTATTGAATGTAAGCAGTCTTTGTTGATATGCAGTATCAAACACTTTTCTACTAAAGCACACCAATAAATTTAAAATTATAATCTTGAACTACTTTCACTTTTTTGGGGAAATGTACCCGTGACTTTGGACTTGGAAAGCTGCGTGTCAAGATATTTTTAAATCCAAAAAGGAAAGTTTCAGAATTTCAATAAATTAGATGATTTCAAAAGAATTCGGGGAAATTTACCACTATGTCCAAAGGGAGTATGGCCAAAATAAGACTACAAAACAAACTAGCAGTCTATGTGCTTCAACCGTTAAAACTTAAAACTTTGAACAATCATTCTTATTCCACATTAGTGTATACTTACAATTCTGATCCTGCGACCCATGGCAGTGGCTGGCAAATTCTTCCTGAACTTGGCTCTTACAGATCCGCTGTTACCGTGTGGTCGTGTGACCTTCCCCCAGACAACACGGATACGGCTAGCATTTTCATGACCGGGACATGCAGTCTTCCTGCAAAATCAACAATAATGTGGCATAAAATCTAGAAGGTTATCACTGTGACACACCATGTTATTCCATCCGAATAAGTTAGGGTAATATATTATAAATAAAAGTTTTTTTATAGAAGAAAATATGTATCTATTTGTGAATGTGATAAAAGATCCTTTATTGTCAGGCTTACAAAATGTTATTTTCGGATAGTGGATTATTATATCCGTGTCTACTAATACTAACTGCAGGCAAGTAACTGGGGAAAAACCTTGAACACCCCTGACCGGTATGGGTATTTGTTACAAATGGTTTGTAGACGACTGTTTAGTTCCAAGCTTGGCTTTAAACTCTTAACATCTTCTATATCCACTTTCGGGTAAAACTTTGCAATCTAATATATTCACTATTAGATTTACCTACAAATATTTTGCGTATGTATATACTATTAGATTTACCTACTTACAAGTACTTTGCGATCTAATATGTATACACTATTAGATTCACCTACAAGTAAGCATCCTACAAATCTATGTTCTAGTATGTGACTGTACCTAAGACATAAATATTTGCAGAGCTCAACAAAAATCTGAATGCAATTTGTAACTGTATTACATTAACTTTAATAACCTCTACCATAAATGGATCTGGATGATTCCATTACGGTCTACAGTGTTGAAAGGGTTAAGCAATCCAAAACAAGAGCATGGAAGATTTTATGATATATTTCTTTAAAATGATAAATATATTGATCATTGGTTACTGTTCAGTAAATATTAACCAATGATTGATCATAAAAATCTCAAACGATTCCCACCACTACAGTTAAGGTAATGAATCGGACATGTTTTACAAACCTCTTTGCCTTGTACACATATGCACATCTCTTTCCAAGGTAAAACCTGGTATCCTTGAGGTTAGTCACACCTTCAATCTTCAGAAGAGCTGTGTTTTCATGCTGATTTCTTAAACCTCGCTTGAAGCCAGTGAACACAGCTTTGGAGTAAAGCCTGGAAGATAATCATTGTAAGTTAACCCAAGCGAGATTTGTTTATTCAGGAAAGGAAAAATGCTTGGTCAGAGTAAGATTGGAACATGGGACTAGGGCTTCAACGGAAAGAAAAAATGCCACAGAGATAATCTTGTGTGCTTATCCAAACTGAAACTGGGTAACCATGTTTTTTTGTGCAAGGAAATATTAACAGCAACGGAATTTAATTTTCGATCAAAATAGAGGCATCACAATCCACTGTACCATGATTATTTATGTTCGATTTGATTCACAATGCATTTTTCCGGATTTTCGGTGCGTTACAATCTGGATATTAGTGTATGCCACTTCGGCCAAAATGTCTGCGAGAAGTTCTATTTCATTGACTGATCTCTAAACCCTCAACCAATAGGCTGCGAGGAAGCATTTTTTCGAAGAATTCATAACAAAATGGCAGACTGCCGAAAGGAATTGAAAATTTGTGATGCTCCAGCAAGCTTCAAATCAAAAGTGGAAACACTGCAGGTTTCCGTGTATCAACGGCTTATATATCTCATTTTTTATAATTTAAAATAAAGGTGTATCGAATCGAAATAATCGAATCGTGGTACAAATATCGAGATACGTATCGAATCGTGGCTAAAGTGTATCGTGACAGCTCTAGATAAAAATATCATTACTTAATTCATGAAATGCTGATCAATATGCCTTGTGTATACTTTGTTCAACAGAATGTCAGTCGATATCATACTTCTATTCAAAGTTTATTGTTTACATGCAATCAATAGTAAAACAACTATACTGATCACAAGTGTTTTCGAGGTCTGTCAAATAGCAATCATGAGCGACATTTCTGCTCGGGAAAATAAAAAATATTGACCTACATTTTGGGACAGTTTTGGGTCTTGTACATGTATCTTGCACTTAATGCAGACTCAGGGGTTTGTTACAAATGTATGAAATACACATGCTATACTGTATTTCAGACATTTGTAAATTGAACCCCTGTGGTGTAGGTTAGGAAGGCAACTTAACTTAATCTTCAACCAAAGTTTTCATCAGACTGGTGTTTTTTCAACAACCTGCAGCAGTAATTAGGGCAAACACTTTTCCTGACCACATGTGAGCCATATTGGGCACAATCATGTCGGATTATAAATAAAATAGTTGACCAACAGTCTCCAGTACCGTATGCAGACCCCAGATTTGGACACGACTATGTTCCGGAAATACATACCTCCCAGACTTCTTCTGTGGGTTAGCAGTTTGGTTGGCCTCTGCCATTATGAGCAGATCTGCAAAATCACAAAATATTCAAATTTCATTAAATTAAAGAGCATCAAAACTCTGACGATGAACGCAATTAATTCGCTTTACAAATGCGAATAAATTGTAACGTGGAATTGCTAGCTCAAGTTGATTTCAGTCGGGATACCCTTAAAGACAATTTGTTCATTACTAGCTTGCAGGCCTCTTGTTCATTACTAGCTTGCAGGGAGGCCAGTGTTCGATTTTAAACGTGTTCCGTATGAGCTAGGAATGAGATGCCCCGTGTAATGAGCGTGGAGGTGGTTAGATAAACTGTTAACAAAGTGACAATATCATAATGGTACCGGGTATTTATACTTTCACACATGAAAACATACTAAATGCACGAAATTTCTTCTGTCAACATGAGAAGCATCGATGACCAATCTATCAATATCGTAACTAATATAGTTCATCAAATACAACAAAATGGCAACATGTGTAATTGTGTTATTGTTTAAGACGAACAGTTGAAATTCGTGTACGCAGACATCCCTATGTTGATGTAAACAATAATTTATTTTGGTTCATATGAACAAATCAGCACCTTGTAATCGTGATGGCCGAAAAAGGAAGCGGAAATGAGTCTTCGCCGGAACTTCCGTTTCACATGCGCATGTGTCATAGCAACAATAAACAATATGGAGTATCGCCTGTAAATTTATTTTCACTGTGAAAATTGCATTATAAACAGGTGAGTCAGCTAATTTAGGGCGATTCTTTCTCCAGTTTTGTTATTGTCGTACCAGGTGTACGATATATTTAAAGAAACAATGTGAAAATAGAATACTTGAGTACAAAGGAATGCGAAGTTTTGAAGTTGGTGTAAATTTTTCTTCAACGTTGTGTCACTCGTCCCTTGATTTGATCAATTAAATCTTATCTGTTCTCATTTGTCACTCTCTGTCCACAGGGCCTTGTTAACATTTATTAGTATGTATTGTTACATTAGATATCTTAATTTTCTTCCCCGATATTAAATACTCAAATAGCATAATCATCCTCTCGGCATAATGTGGCAGTACCCAAATCAGATCACTTTTTGCAAAAATAAATAAATGTGTCAACAAATCAGTTATAACAATGATGTAGTCTTAGAATAATTAGCGATGCACCAGTTTTTGTCTACAGATGATTATTTTTTAAGTTCAAATAGCACAAGATTCAAGAAAACGTAGTTCAAACTCAAATGTCAATGTTTTGATTACGTTTTTAAAAAATGGCGCGTGCGACGACTATGCACTCTGTTTTGGACTATAGGAATAAATTCACACTATAGAAATACTTTTTGTCATATAAATTCTTAAGGTCATCATTAAATGTGAATATGCTGACAAAAAAAATATTCATTTGAAGCATACGATTCTGCAAAATTCAAGCATTGATCCATTTCGGGTCCCGACATTTGCAAAAACCGGAGATTCTGATTGGTAACTTCAGAGCGTTCTATAAATATCTCAAGTGAGCCCCGGGTGCTAATTTTGTTTGTAAGAACACCCATCAATATTCTTTCTTTGATACAACCATAAATGAATATAATTTTTCAATGATTTAAAAAAATAATGGTTTGGTGATCCAATTTGGGTACTGTCACCTTACAGCTTAACATGAACATACAAACAATATCAACAAGACCCTGTGATATGCAACTTCGTATTTTCAGTAACATCCCTGCCTCTCCAGCACTTGACTACTCCTCACTACCTTGTCCTGCCTACCTGTGTCCTCACTACCTTCGTCCTGCCTACCTTTGTCCTCACTACCTTCGTCCTGCCTACCTGTGTCCTCACTACCTTGTCCTTCCTACCTTTGTCCTAACATAACCTTTAGACTCAGCTGCTTCTATCACATTATACAGGAACTTTGTGTAAGGATGCAGGAGGACCCAAATTGGATCAGTACCAATATCAGATCACTTCTTGCAAAAATGCTTTTTGAAATCAATAAATGTGTCAATAGATCAGTTATAACAATAATGTAGCCATAGAATAGAAATAGCTGTGCACCATTTTTTTGTCTGCAGATGACTATAGATTTTAACTTTATATAGCACCAGAAAACATTACTTGAACTCAAAAGATAGTGTTCTGTATCTTATATTGTTTTTTTAAATGGCACATATGAGGACTATACATTCTGTTTTGAACTAGTGGAATAAATTCAAAATATAGAAATACTTATTTTCATATAAATTTCAAAGGTCATCTTAAAATGCTAATTTTGTTTGTAATAACACCCATCAATTTTCTTCCTTTGATACAACCATTAATGAATATATATAATTCATCCTCAGAATTTTCAATGAATGAATAAAATGATGGTTTGGTGATCCGATTTGGATACTGTCACCTTATTCTATAAAGTTATGATTTTTTACAACCACATCAAAAGGAATGGGTAGGATATGTAGTAAACAAGAATAGTTTTCTAAATGAGAGGAGGAAGAAAATAAGGAGAAAGGACCCAAATCAGATCACTTTTTGCAAAAATACTTTTTTTTCTTTCTACAGATGATTACTAGTCCAAATAGCACCAGAAAACATAATTCAAAATCAAAGTTGGTGTTTTGTTTTATGTTTTTAAAAATTGATGAGTGCAACGACTATGCGTTCTGTTTTGGAAACGCTGATTGGTGACTTCAGAGCGTTCTATAAATATCTCAAGTGAGCCCAAGGTGCTTAATCTCTTTTATAAGAACAATCATTAATATTCTTCCTTTAATACATCCATAAATGAATATAATTCATGCTCAGAATTTTCAATGAATGAATAAAATGATTGTTTGGTGATCCGATTTGGGTACTGTCACCTTATCACCTACACTGACCTTATATTTAAAAAATAAATATTTTAAAGTTTGGTTTTAAATTGGTGTAATTCATGAGGAGATCACTAACAAGCCTGTTAGGAAGACCCATTCTATCAGAATTTTAGTGAAAAGTCAAGTATTTCAGAAATGTTGTTTGCGATGTAATCTTAAGTCAATGATGCATATCCATGCACTATCCAGTTGCATTTTTTTTTTATTATTTTTATTTCTAACATTCAGGATTCTCAGTGGCAATACTTTATACAGGAATTTGATCTGTAAAATAGAGTTCAGTGTGCCAAACATTTTAAATATATCGTGTTACAGGTTTTACACATCTAAAGAAGGATGGGGAAAGGAGAGGAAGGTCTGCACATTTCTTTTTCTATACCTGCTACTAACTGCTTACCGTTGTTTGCTTATAACCTAATTACAAGAGATGTACTCTATAACTCCTTTTTCTCCCATGGCACTGTGCATTTTTCTCCACATTTGGGAAAAAGTAGATGTATTGAGGTCAATAAAAGATAACAATGGGTTTCACATATATGTATATCAGTTTTCTTGATAATTTCTGCTGGTAAATATCAGAAATGGGTTTCGCATATATGTATATCAGTTTTCTTGATAATTTCTGCTGGTAAATATCAGAAAATATTATATGAAATATTTAGCAGGAGATCGCCAGTGACTCCACAAATACTGCATTTTCTCTAGGTATTTGATTGATCATCACAATTTCTTATCGCCTTTGTTTTGTAACATCACAATCAACTTGATACCTTCACTGCAGTGAAGATATTACTTATGTTATACTGATTATTCACCATAGAAAAAAATAGAAATCTGTATACTGATCTTAACATATTAAGGGGATACACACCTATTAACTGACCATATATCACTATCATCTCGGGTCACACCAGACATTCCAGATGTTTGTGGGAAAAATTACCTTGACCTACATTCAAGGTTACAAAGGGTCAAATATATCAAAAACTTCAAACAACTTATTCTGAAAAACTGAAAGACTAAGAGTGATAATATTTAGTTTAGCTACCAATGAAAGTGCCAAACAAAGTTTGCTTACAAAAATTACCTTGAGCTGTTTTTGAGGTCACACACGTCAAATCTGTTAAAAACTTTAAATAACTTCTCTTGAAGAATCCATACACTATTTAGGCCCCTGGGTGTCTTGTTTAGGTTGGTGTTTGTTTTTAGTAACATTTGTAGTTTGGGTATTACATGTACTACTTACCAGGTATTTTTGCATCTAACACTACTGCTGTGTAATTGCATTCATGTTTGATAACTTTGTGAAGTTTTGAAATTGTGCAAAGTAGTTATAGTGTATACCAGCTGTCTTAACTGTTATTGCCTTTTTAGCTCGCCTATTCGGAGAATAGGGCCGAGCTAATGTAGACACCCCGGAGTCGGCGTCCCACTTGAACTGAGTTTTTGGACAAGTTTTATCCAGACAGTGTACATGTTGGATCATAACTCTCAATACACTGTTGTCTAATAGTAATATAAGGTTGAAGTATTTATATGGAGTGTAAGCAATGTGCTGAACCATATTTTTATACTTTAGGGGCTAAAACTGGTTAATTGGACTTGGCTAAAGTTTAAGTTGGACCACCTTCATCAATAGGCTGATGTCTATTCTAAGGTTGAAGTATTTATATGGAGTGTAAGCAATGTGCTGAACAATATTTTCATATTTTAGTGGCCAAAAACAGTGTAATTAGACTTGGTTAAAATATTTTACAGCAAGTTTGTATGAACAGTGTTGGATCGGTCACCACGATCAATACGTTGTTGACTATTTCACATTGTCTGGTCGTCTCTTCAACATGTTACGGTACAAGAAAACCTTATATGCCACCATTTATTCAGAGAAATATTGGCATTATAAAGGGGTTTGGCAATATATTGAGGGAAACATGTAAAGGAATAGGCTAGCTATGCTGTTCTCAAACAGCTCTTGTTTCATTAGCCTTAAGTAACCTAGATCAAATTCTGAAGCATATATTAGCATGAAATTTCAATGAAGAAAGTCAAACACTGATGTATAAACAAAACCAATCCAGCTTTCCCCTACCAAATTTAAACAATTATTTGCAATCTTTAATTCAGTATCCCATTTGAGATTTTTAGAACCTGTAAGTTCTTGACAGATTCTTTTTTTCTAAGCAAGTTTTGGACTGTCATAGTCTTGTTAAAGGGCAAGTATGTAAGAAAGAAATAAGCAGTAGTGAACGTATCCTTTGGTAAGCTATACACAATATATACTAGCTATTGAAGCATTGAGTAATTTTAAGTTGAATACAAAAAATGACATATCTGTTGAAACTGTCAGAAAAGAAAAGCAAACAAAAATTGTTTTCCTAAATAAACATTAAATGATCAAAAACTTGTTACACTAACATAAACTTTTAAAACCCCAGAAAGGTTTAAAACACATTTACCGGTATCTGTCTAAACCATAAACACCAATTCAAGTGATTATTATTTATCAGAATTGACTGGTTTATAATGTTGAACCTATTAAAGGCATGTGACTCTAACTTAGCTAAATTACATGGTGAAGTTATATTTGATTTCTTTATTTTCAAAATTTAAGCAAATATTCTGAGAATTTAAAACAATCAGCAATAGGCAATATAGAAAGAAATCAGTATTTTTGAATTTTAATACTGTATTTACTTTCAAAAACATGCAATTTGGAAATTAAACTGAAATGATCATAAACTCTATACAAATTTGGTTATTCCAAATTTTCATGTAAATGCATGGTGAATCAGATCTTAATTTGTTATGCAAAACAGCTTAGGAATATTACATTAACATGTATCTTATTGCAAACTATATAATTTGAAAATATTTTGTAAAACACTGTTGTCAGTCTATTGGTACTATCTATGGTTGATTGAGTTAAAGTATTTACCCGGTTCCTATTCCAGGTGTCACGATGTTGGAGGGTACGTCAGCCATCCATGTGGCCACCATACTGGAGGACTGCGTGGACCAGCTCTCTGTCCTGGGGCGCATCATGCCTGCTGCTTACGAGGGCAGGTTTGATGCTGTTGAGGTGAGTCATGACAAACACCTAAAGTTTGATGCTGTTGAGGTGAGTCATGCTGTAGACTAATAGAATCTTCCCCTACATGCTTGAGGGTGTGACAGAGAAATCTCCAACCTGAGGGGTGATGTTTATTGGTTGTCTAACCTGAGGCTCTGCTGAGGGTTAGAAAACCAAAAATATCACCCAGAGGGTTTGAGATTTCTCTGTTATACTCTCAAGGTAGGGGATGATTATTTTTCTCCAATCCTATAATTTCAGTCACAGCTCCACCGACAGTAGTCTGCCATGTTTGTAAACAAAAACACATGCTGGGTGTGCATATTGTTATTCACTTTTGATGACGTCACAATTACCGATAACACATTTTAATGACGTCACAGTTGAACACATGCTAATCGGCTTGAGGCTATCTACCCCTAGGGGGTGACAAGCTGATCTTTTGCAGCTTAAACGGGAGACACACCTGTGGACGGTTGGAGAAATAATTATCATATCTGCCTCTGATGAGAGAAAGGGTTGTAGACACAATTCATGTCCATAGCTAATGAAGGTAATTTTGTATGATACAGTAAGGTACTGTCAGGGTAACTTTATCTTCATTAAGTTTTACTACCAGGTTACCAACCCTATACAAATAAAATATGCAAATTTTCAGACATGCATACCAATTCCTTTTAAAAAGTAGAAGTTTATATACATGTACCTTATTTTTTTCTTGATATTCCTAAACAGACATACAGTATGACATTTTGTTTTGCCTCATGTTTACACTGCAGAGCGACTGCAGAGTTGTATACATATAATAATTATATAAGTAAATAAATATCTGTATGGTTTGTGTTTTGACAGCTGGTCCAGAATGAACTTAACCAGTTAGTGATGGGGCAAAAGGAACTTGAACTTAAATATCAGACAATTCTCTCCAAAAAACTTGACCTCAGAAACACCACAAAAAATGCTGCCAAGCTCAGCGAAGTCGAACAGGAAGTCATGGATGCTGGACGCGACCTTAGAAACAGTACACATGTTTTCGGCCGAAGTTTACGCCAGAATCCCCTCACAAGCGACAACACAGCAAAAATCCAGGCCGATAGGTAAGGCAGATAATTTGTTCTTTACCAGGTATAAAAGTAGGTGATGAGTATTATCTTCAAATCCATTCTAAATGATGTAACATAATGATTTATAATAGCTCTGTGGTAGCTGCACCAAACTTAATACATTTGTATCTATACTTAAAAATTTGAAATCATGCATAAGACCTCTGTTTTATGGATTATTCTGTAGATTGATTTTGTGACATTTTGTATTTGAGTCTTACTAATCAATCCCACTCTCATATCCCCCCCACGAAAAAAAAAAATGCCCCAAAAAATTGATATTTGAAATTAATCTTTACTACATTATGGTTGTTGTGAAAAACTAGCCTGTTTCTTACGTCAAAATTAATGTTTAATGGATGAAATCATTTTGAAGTCATTAAAAGAGTCGATAAAAGACAGTTTTCATCACATGTTTGACGGAGTTTGTAGACATATCTTTTCATTAAACAATGTTTATCATGTTATCAGGGGATTTCTGGAGGGAGTAACGAGTGACACACTGTCAGAGCTGATCCAGAACTGTAGTTTCCAGGCCCTGATGGAAGCAGTACGGCTACAGAAGGAGCGTAAGGCCCGGCTACAGGATACCATCCTTAAGTAAGTACCTGTACTGTAGTCCTAATTACAGTGTGGGATACACTTTTGAATATTTAGATATCGGGACCCAAAAAGAGTGATAATTTGGCTGTATATTATCTTTTTAACTGCATGTCATTTTCACTATACTTCACAGAGATTTATTCAGATTAGATGTGGAATTCTTTTAATATTTTAAAATTTTCACCAATAATTATGTCTGTATGAACTTGTACTGAACTTTCTAAACATTTATGTTGCTGATATACTCTAAACAATTAGGATGATAAGAAAGTCTCTAAAATCTTATACAGAATGTTAGACAACTGGGAAGGAAGTCTCAAACATCTTGTTCAGCACACTAGCTATAGACAATGGTAGATGAAGAGTTATTGAAGCTGAATATTCGAACTGAAAATCTCTCTTTTTCAAACTTTATAGGTGCTGTTGATGTTTAACCAGGTTAGGTTCACTATAGTAATACATTGTGTTTATAGGGAGGAGAATGGCCGTAAACGAGTGAAGCTTCTCAACAAACAGCTCCAGGACATCAAGAAAGAGAAGGAGGTGGAGCTACAGCAGAGGAACAATATGATCGCCCACTACAAGGACCAGCTGCAGGAAATGAAGGCCAAGACAAACATGGAGGGCAAGTACACCAAGAAGTCGGCCGAGGTGGCTGTCGCCCAGACTCAGAAACGCTGCCATCTGTCAGAGCGAGAACTACAGACGGAGATAGAGGTAAGGCCAGTCAAAAAAATGTCCGTCTTTATTCTAATAGTAACATTAATTTATATCATGCATAACCATTGTTTATGTTTTGGTAAGACAAACTTTGTTTTTTATATAAAATTGAATTTGTAAGTAACCAAAACCAGAAGTTATATCATGTTCAAAAGGTTGCTGGTATTTCATATATGGATTGAAAATTAACATCTGAAAAAGTTTTTACTTAAACCTAATTTAAAGTTATTTAAAATTATTTAAGAATTTAACCAAGATGCTTTATTGTACAATTTCCATTTTCACAGCAACTGAAACACAAGATTGATGAAGAGAACCGATGTAACATCGAAATAGAATCCTACCTAAAGACTCACCAAGAGGTAAGCACAATATACCCCCCCCCCCCTACACACACACACACACACACACACACTCACTCACACACACACCTACACCTCCAACAACACCCTGCCCCCCGCCCCCTCCCAATTACCCTCATATACTGGGACCCCCTAAGTTACATTGTTAAAACATTTTAAACTGCAACCATTTGTCCAGCAATATACTGGTGTTAGAAAAGCTGTTTGGTGATCAGAGGAGAATTATTTCAAGGAACTGTTATAATTTAAAAAATATGGTAGCAGTTATGAAACTTTAGAAGATGTAGGAAATTTTAATGGGAGTAAAGTTCTTGGATTAAGATAATTTTTTCATCAGTATATAATTGGGTTTCTTGAAAGCTTCTGGTGATATGTTCAGGCATGTACACCTACAGGAAAGTTTTCGAAGTAAAGGTCAAGCACACTTGTCCCTGTTATCTCCAACACTTTTGAACCTGTCTCAAGTTTAGCTCACTTTTGATTTCCAATTATATACCGATACTTAACATGCTGCTGAGACTGAAGCTTTCATTCGTATTTCTCTCACTGTGGAACAGGAACTAGAGAAGAAGGTGGATTATTGGCTGACCAAGTATGACAAAGACGTGGAGGCCAAACAGCACGAGCTGGACGTCCTCAAGGCCAGTAAGGCTAAAGACCTTGATCGCCTACAGGAGCTGACCAAGCAGTATAAGGAATATGAACAGGTTGTTGTGGAGGACCGTATAGAGAAGGAGAAGGCTCGTCGTAAGGCTGACCAGGAGGGCATCGAACTCAAGGCTGCCATCAGGGTAAGCATCTCATTGGCTCATTTCTTAAAATGGAAGTATTCAACCAACCCAATTAAAAAAGAATCATTTAGTCCTATAAATTATTAAAAGGTATAAGGTATGACATTACCATTTAAGAGGTCATGTTTTGGTAACATTCTACTCTCAGCAGTCAGTGTAGTGGCCATCGCTTGGAGAAAAACACATGAGCAGTGAAGTCCCTTAAATATATCATCCTTCTTTCCAAGTAATGTGACTATATTGAATTATGAGATTACTGAAATACTTGGATAATTTTGTATGCAGTGAAAGAATAAAAGGTCATCAGTATCAAAGCATGACCTCTTGCATCGTGTTTTTAGATACCTTAGAGTGTTGTTAAATGATCCAAGAAATTACCCATTACACAGTAATTTCCTTGTAATATCACAACAAATGTACACAGATAACTAAGGTTTCAGAGGTCTCTGGAACTGTAACCCTTCTTCTCGCATCATCAATATGCATGGGCATCTCCAGATTGAATGTTGTTGATATTTGATACTTTGTTTGTTTGGCTCAGGACTTCCTATCAGGTTCTATATGCATAATGACACAGTCAAGTAAAATTAAATCGCTAATATTTCTTTTAATCATTGAAATTAAGACTTATAATTAATTTGAACAAATACAGTTTTCCATGTGGTCACCTGTTCTCAGTTTCAAAGGACTGAAGTGGAAATCTGTAGAAAGAAAAATTCCCTTTTTCGTCTAGTATTAACAGTGTCTCTCCTTGGATATATATTTAGTGGTCACTGTGGCAAAAACAAACAGGTAAATCAAGCAATGGCAATGGAATGGTTCCATTAGAATTATGCACAATTTTTATTTATTATACGCCCGTCAAATTTGACGGGAGTATTATGGTATGGCATTGTCCGTCCGTCCATTTTTCAAAGAATCTCTTTGAAACTTGGTATACATTATAATCATGATATGAAGTTGGGTCTCCCTCAAAAGAATTTTGATTCAACAATTTTTGCAAAAGTTATTGCCCTTTGTTCATTTCAGTATTTGATTTTTTTATCCAGAAATTTCTCCTACATTTTTATAGCATGTCAGCTAACTACTCTTTGAATGATGCAGATCTTATTTCAATGTAAGAAAGTATTTAACACTATATGGCATTCGACGGGCGTATATTGTTCTGCCCCCCCGGTACTCTTGTTTTTTAAATATCATGTGCAAAACTTTTGTGTTCAAACAAAACAATTCCCTATAAGTCAATACCTGAAATGATCTTGGTCACCAAATTATTAGTTACAAATGTTATACAGGTAGATCTTTCTATATTACAGGTACAAGCCTGGTGGAGGGGCGTCATGGTCCGGAAAGGTTTCGGACCCTACAGTAAAAAGAAGAAGGGAAAGAAAGGCAAGAAAGGAAAGAAGGGCAAAAAGAAGAAGTAGACTGTTGACCTCAGCATTTGGCTGGACTTATACTATTGTTGTGTCCGTGTGTTTGATCAAATGTGACCACACTTCTCTGTGATCCAGAAATGACTGAAGAACTAGTATACTATATAAATCACTCAAGACACTAAAATTGTGCTGAAGACAATATTCTGTTGCTGGGTTAGCAACCTCTGTGGTCTAGATATGACAGAGGAAACTTATGGATATCTCCCATTTACCATCAACCAGTCAGACATTACAAAAATTGTATTGATGAAATTTTTGAATTATTTAGGTATGAAAATACAAAAAATAAACATTACCGTATTTCAATGTGAAGATCTTGTATTCAATCTTGGTTATAGACAATTTTAAAACAAAGTTGTACATATATATAATTTAGATCTCACTAGACAAAAAAAAAATGTATAATATGTGTGTGTATTTAATGTATTTCTTTCATTAAATGCCCTGTTACCATAAATTGCATGTTGTTTTTGTTTATCATACCCCCTACAAACAAAGTTTGAGGGGTATATAGGAATCACCCTGTTCTCCTAAACTGTTTACAGGATTTGTTTATTTGATTTTTAATTTGACATGGTTAAAAGTACATGGTAAAACAGCCCTCAGCATATGGAAATGCCTATGAAGAAAAGAATTTGCTATTCAGTTATTTTTCCTGGAGTTATGGCCCTTGAAACGTGTGCTTCCTCCTTAATTAAGGATCCCTGCACCACTGCCACACACTGTAACGAAGTGTTGGAAACTATTTTTCTGGCTTGATTAAAGTTTTGATAAATCTTTCCTGATATGCAATTGTCGACATCATAAGATTCACTGAAATGCTACGGTCATTCTACTCAAAATAGGACAAGGACCAAGAACGTGCAATCTAGATATCTCCTTCAGGCTGGTTCTCGCTTGTCAGTAAGTGTACTGCGCTACAAGGACAAGGAGATCATTGAAAAATGTACTTTTCCGAGAGAACGTATTTGAAAGACACCATGAAGGCCGGCCCCGGGCATTGACACTCTTCAGACAATTTTCACGGAAACATTCACCGTAAACTCCCAATTCCAAATCCTCTGGTAAACCAAGACCGAACTTAAAGCAACCCAACATGCTAAATAATAAATGGGCGGAGATATGTCAATGTTGTTCCAATATTTAAGAATGACGAGTAAGGTGCAGTTGTGTGCAACAGTAACGCATAACGCTTCAATTGGATCATATTAAGGTACCGTATAGCAGGATCGGGGGTGATATATTGGCGATTTCGCGGGTCAATACCGTGATCGCGGAATAATATGACAAGCGTAAAAATAGTACAGAGCGCATGTGGTTGTAACGATCCATATACATACAGAGTAATGCTGATTGTAAATAGGTTATACCATACTTCTTATAGTTCTCACTTGTTGTTGCTCGATATCCTGTGATAAAACGCATTCATATGACTATTTAACACTTTATATGCAGAGTGTCCCGTCTCTGTGTTAGGACACCATGGAAATCGAGTCCTTTCACACGTCTAGATCGCGAAATTATAATCAGTGTAAATGAAACTTTCTGCTTTTGGGTCAAAATCGCTTAAATTTACACCTCGCGTAAAATGTAGGTATAATGCGCAAATTGGGTGTATGGCCTGCTGTTCCTGTGAGAAAGCGCTAATTATCACCATTCAAAGGACCTTGCCAACAATATTCATGTGCGAAATACTGGAAGAAGAATACAAACAACAGCTAGACACTCAACAGACGTCGTGCTGCTGGACTGTTGGTGATGAACTGAATGGCAGACTCTTACAGAAAAAATGAAACACTATCGAATCTGTGATAATCAACACAGCAGAGACCAAGACTTTCTCCACGACCGATACTAGAAGAAGCTATCCTGGGGGTGCCTCAACGGAAAGTTGTTTATCACTATTATTCTACAGATTAGATTAATATGACTGTGTACATTGTAAGATTTAATCTCTTACTGTCTTTGTGTTCGTCTATTTTAAACAACTCTGCCATCTTCATCAGACAAACAACCAGCCAAGCGAAAGCACATTACAGTGCAAAATATGTACAAATTGGCAATAAAGTCTCGTTCCCAGTAAAATGGGGTATAGTTAACATTTTCCTTAACGAGCAGGACTGAAGTAATATCCCAATTTCCTGTTGAATACTACATAATACAGCTTTTTACACGAGTCTTTTAATCCAGACGCTGTTAAGACATATTTTGACTGTCTTAAAAGGTGGTATCTTATCCTTAAAATCTGAGTTCATTGTTCTGAGCTGTCAATTCTTGCGCAATATATAAAGGATGAATGAGAGAAAGACCTTTCCGGCATTTTTGTACTTATACAACCTTTTTTCCACGCAATTATATCATGAAAATAGCGTTAATGTAATATCTCTATATTTAGACATTTACGTCATATGTATCCTGGTTACCATGGATAGCGATCCCGCACTTTAAACACACAGCAAGAAAATCGATCGAACTCAAATTCGATAAAACTAGGGCAAAATATGAACAAAGGAAATATCCACAAAAATGGAAGGAAAATGTTACCGGTAGGATAAGCTTAAATAGCTCAATTTGATCATAGAACACCAATCAGCGTCATAAACACGCCTTGCTGTCTAGGCCAGGATTGGATCTCAAATAAATGTGATACTTTTAACATCTGTACCATCATAACCACCAGCTATGTCTTTGTCTGCATCAAGAGAGTGCTATTTCATTCCTCTAAATATAGTACAGTTAACATACATGTATGTGTATATTTCATACACCACTTTTATAGCAGCTATTGTTGACATTTTCTGGACCATTGCGGGTATTTTGATTCCGATGATTTTCATCAAAATATTGTTTAATAAGTGGTTTGACAGTTAAGGAAATAAAAACTTCCAAGCCTATCTAATGCTATTTGTATCGCGTAAAATACGTCCATCAATGCAAATCTATGTAACTTTATTTTTATTTTTCGAACTGCTTTGTTAGATGTTCCTGCCCTTTGCATTTTTCGGCTTAAATTCTAACATTTCCTATTCATTATCGTATCATGCTTGGTCCAGCTCATGCCGGAAGTTCCTTTTTGTGTCTATAGAATATTGAGTCTTAACGTTTTCAATGTTTTGCCACGCGGACGTTGAATAGCTATGTACATCGTTAACGTTTTGTCTCCAGCAGTTCCATATTTCTGATACGGCTTTAAATGTCTTTTTTTTTGTATAATGTAGTATTCAACAGGAAATAGGGGTATTACTTCAGTCCTGCTCGATAAGGAAAAGGTTAACTATACCCCATTTTACTAGGACCGAGTCTATGCACCATTTGATCGTATTTCGTAAAACATTTTATTGTACATACGTTTACAGAGTAGTTAAATCGACGGCGATTGTATCGCCAATTTGTACATATTTTGAACTGCAATGTGCATACGCTTAACTGGTTTTTTATTCTACTGGACGGCTATATGAACCTATATACAGGTCGTTCCTACCAACCTGGAGAATAGGTTCAGAAATGACCACGCGGTGCTTTTTAGTAATCTTAAAACATCTTATCATCCATCTTGAACACATACATCACTACGCCAAAACCTTGTTGCATAGACAGCGTGGCGTAGTGTATTCGTACGCACGCAGATTGTGACTGAATTATAATTACTCAATTAGCCGGAGTAGGTTGAATACGGGAAGTTGTTTAGTACCAAGCAAGCTAAAAGTGTGCATGTTTTCCTAGGCTACTAGTAACTAATTTGCGGAAATCTATACATTTCCATAAGTCTAACACATATATATTACTTAATCGGGCTGGACAGGAAGGGAAATCATGTTATTCTTCAAAGTATCAGTTAACACCAAGTCAATCCGATCAGGGGGCTCAATATCGGTCATTGTAGCCACTACATCATACAAGCTACTACACATGAAACAGCCACCAATCTACACCGAACTTACTTCAATCATGACTCATTGACCCATTGACTGTTTTCCCTATGCGACCGGCATTCAAACACTAATACTATTAGGTACATGGTAGTAAAGAGATACCTTATGGATGGCTAGTAATCATTAATCTGTATTTATACATTATACATAAGTACAAACACGCATATATATGCCTATATGACGAAACGCATGATATTAAAGATATGACCATCTAGCCCGAGGGCTGATAAGGTCGAGGGTTAATACGATGTAGGATATTGAAATGGTCATGCTTGAAACTTTCTATCGTGTATTGTAATATTTTAGTACAACATCCAAAGTATCAGCAATTACCAAATACATTGCATATACATACCTTTGGGTTATGCCGTCAATATACATACCTTTGGGTTATGCCGTCAATATACATACCTTTGGGTTATGCCGTCAATATACATACCTTTGGGTTATGCCGTCATAATATGATATGAAATTAGGGTCAGCTTGGAGACCATCCGTGATGTGAGGGGTTAAAGGGGGGATCAAAATTACAAATGACCTCTTTTTGACAAAACCACGTTATTTTTTTAAACATTCTTTGTATTTTTATGTATTGTCTAACACTGAAACTTCCAAAATAATAAAGTATTGACCAAAAAGGTAGCAGATATATGATAAGTAGGTCACAGTGACCTTGCTATATATTCATTTAATTGTCAACGGTACTCTCTTTTGGAAAAATATTTTAACCAAAGATTTTTCTTAACGCTTCAGCGATGCTTCCCAATGAAAACAGCTAATCAAACATTCTCCTGAAGTTAAGGAATGTTCATGAATTTGCGTCCAAAACGCTCATATAATGTCATAAACAAAATTACGTATGATTCTAGTATCCGACCGAGAAGAAATATCTGCGACTGATGACGTCACAATGCAACTTTATTGTGTAAAGTCTGTGTTTTGTCCGTCACCATTTAACATCTATCATAGAAATCATGATAGTCTTGTGAACACTGTCAGTTGGAGAAACAGGAATGATATTTGAAGAGAGTGAAAATTTAGGATAGGAAAATCGAAATCGCCCTTCAGACAAAAAAACAGACAATTAACAGCAGTTTCAAGATACTTTTAACAGCAATATCAATCACACTCATTCATACATGTTTTTGCACTTCTTTATAAAGGTTATACGTCCATACATATTGTATTCTGTAAGCATTCATCATCCATATTGCTGAAAATCATCGTTTGATACCGACGGAGAACGCCCATTCTACAAAATAAGAAGAAAAAAAGGTAATAATCTAATGGTTGGTCTTCATATGATGTCATTGGTATCAGTAACACATTGTACGGATCACTGTGCAATACAACTTCAACATATATCACAAGTTCTATTCCTGTATTATTATACTGCCCGACCTCAGTGAGCCCGATATCACATTAGAATTTCTTTTTGTTGCAAATGTCATAATTTGCGTCATCAGAGTGCCGAAGCATAAAGAATGTCTTATGATTAAAGTGACGAAGTGGGTTTAAAGCTCTGTAGTTTACCAATGCTGGTTCTATTTCAGAATTCAATACAACTCAACATTGAGTTATACCCTCAACACATGATAACGGATAATTAAAAACACTCAAATATCAATTATAAAAGGCTTTCCTTTGGTAATACTAATTCCAAGTACTTTAATCTTAGCTGCAGAAGATACAATTTCCCATTTTTAATACTCTTCTCTTATGTAAGCATTATTCTAATATCGTTGACATTATTAGTCATCGATGGGTTGTAGGAAACAGCTTTGGAAGATCACGTTATGTTGATTAAATGTTACGTAAACGGTTAAACAACCACACATGAATCTCTTAATTAAACAAGGATGCGTCATATGTACCTTTAGACGTTTCAGGGGTTTTAGATCGGCAAAATTCGTACAGATGGTACATAAGGCCTACTAGAAATGTTGAAAAAAAGCGCTGGAACCAGCAAGCTCACCCCTATCTAACATTATCAGATCAAAAAGTCACATTTAAAGTGGATGTGAAGTGACTGCTAAATGATAATTTCCCTTCCTCTAACCCTTTAGCACAAACACAAACAAACCAATCATGAATACTGTGGATACATTTACCGACTATAAAGCTTACGCCAGGTGATCTGTGTTGTTTTGTATGGTTGGAATGTTTTATTTTAATCTGTCGTCTTATTTGAATGTAATGACATTTGCATTGCTAACATGTGTATTGCACAAAAGGCCAAATGATACCTTGCGCACATCGACAAATATGTAGCAAGTATACATAGGAAAAGAACAATCTGAAAAATAGTTCAACTAAGTATGCAATTATGTATTTTACTTATAGAGCACGTCGAACTTCTAAAGGATTAAGACATTCTGTGACAATACTTCTAGGCACTCGGCGAAACTGGTGATACGGGTGTTGATGTTTTTGATTACGCCCATTAGTGAGTCTCGTGATTTTTCTGTCACCAGCAGAATTCTTGATGGGAGGACGTGACAACCCCATTAATTTGTCCTTTACTCGACGTGAGGACGTGACAATCCCATTAGATTGTCCTTTACTCGATGTGAGGACGTGACAATCGCATTAGTTTGTCCTTTACTCGATGTGAGGACGTGACAGCCCCATTACTTTGTCCTTTACTCGATGCGAGGACGTGACAACCCCATTACTTTATCCTTTACCCGCTGCGAGGACGTGACAACCCCATTACTTTGTCCTTTACTCGATGCGAGGACGTGACAACCCCATTACTTTGTTCTTTACTCGATGCGAGGACGTGACAGCCCCATTACTTTGTCCTTTACTCGATGTGAGGACGTGACAATCCCATTACTTTGTCCTTTACTCGATGTGAGGACGTGACAATCCCATTCCTTTGTCCTTTACTCGATGTGAGGACGTGACAATCCCATTACTTTGTCCTTTACTCGATGTGAGGACGTGACAACCCCATTACTCTGTCCTTTACTCGATGTGAGGACGTGGCAATTACATTACTTTGTCCATTACTCAATGTGAGGACGTGACAATCCCATTCCTTTGTCCTTTACTCGATGTAAGGACGTGACAATCCCATTACTTTGTACTTTACTCGATGTAAGGACGTAACAATCCTATTACTTTGTCCTTTACTCGATGTGAGGACATGACAGTCCCATTAATTTGTCCTTTCCTCGATGTGATGACGTGACAATCCCATTAGTTTGTCCTTTACTCGATGTGAGGACGTGACAATCCCATTAGTTTGTCCTTTACTCGATGTGAGGACGTGACAATCGCATTAGTTTATCCTTTACTCGATGCGAGGACATGACAATCCCATTACTTTGTCGTTCAGTTATTGAGTGTCCATAACATTAACGAATTGTGTCTACTAGGAAAATTCATCTATGAGGCAAACAAATTAACAAAACAATGGAATATGATTGTCTTCATTCTCTGTACATTGTCCCAGATGCGTGTATAATATATATTGCATACTGATGGGCCAATGGCCTAAAGTTTGAATAAAACAAACTAGAACACACCAAATCACCTACCCATGAAATATCCACAGCTCCTACCACTACACCATCCGCCGGGGGGTTAGAGAAGTGTCGAGGATGCCACCATGCTCCTGAGGATATTTCCGGCTATCACTCGAAGCGTTCTGATATAAAGACAAAACCTGGCAAAGTGAAAAACGGGCAGACGTTGACGAACAGTTTGTTTGATGATTACGACTTTTAATTTTGCGTTAAAACGAAAAAGAAACAATTTTCTTTCACAAAACTAATTATGCTCTATGGCAGGGCGAGTTTTCCCCGAGTTAATCCACTTTTGAAAGTTTAGAATTAATTTGTTACCATATTTCTAGGCTAGGTGATTAGGTGTCGTAGGTCGTGAGTTCGAGGCCCGGAGAGGAGGTGAGGAGGATATTTCTAGGCTAGGCGATTGTATGTCGTAGGTCGCGAGTTCGAGGCCCTTCGAGGCGCTGAGGATATGTATAGGCAAGGCAATTAGATGTCGTAGGTCGTGAGTTCGAGGCTCGGAGAGGGCACGAGTCATACAATTGTTTCCCTTCTGTACAAGCTAATGTTTTACTATACGATATATTATCGAGAAAACTAGGATAGTAGTCACTACATGGAGTACACCATTTTATTATTTGTTATATTTAAGTTCGTACGTGTACTCCAATTCCGTGATGAATCCCCGTACCACTGCGAAAAACTGTAGACATAGCCTGGATAAATCATTCTGAAAAGAAAAGAATACCTTGCGTTTTTTTTATGAGAAATAATAAAGATAAAGATAAAGATAATCAACAAAAGCGAAGTCCAGGGTTCGAATCCCGGTCTAGTTACCGCTGACTGTCTTACACTCGGAACACTGTTGTTGGCTTTATTTTGCTTATTATATCTGTATTATTTTTTCATGAAGGTCCCACAAGACATGGGTTTCTTTTCAGTTTTGGGGCAGACGTACGTGGGTCCGTCATAAAACTATTAGTTGACATCGAAATTGTAGTAAATATTACCCCTCATTAAGATGCTATGAATGATCCAAGGGTGATGAATTAACAACCTTCAGTCAACACCTTTTTGGTTCAATTCCTTGAATGAAGAGCATTTGAATGAGTCTAGCATATTTGGGTATAAAAAGGAAGATGGTTAAAATTGTAGCCAATTATTTAGACCCCTAAGGTGTCTACGCACATAAAACATGAATTATTCGTCGCCTGAATACCTGGAAACAGAATTTCAAACTGGCGACACCTCGATTGCTAGCCTGATCACAGGTACATGAGAATATGTAGCTTATATTTATATGCGGTATTTGGACCTAAACTACAAGGGTTTCAGAGTAATTTTACATGTTTTAGGAGTTCTGATTTAACTTGTCGGTAAAAATGCGCCCACCCCCTCCCAATTGAAGAGGTGGCATTTTTGTGTTTACCGAAACGCGATCGTAACTCCTAGAACTTGTAAAACTACTCTATGTGTTCTAGCCGTAAATAACATGCCCCTGAGGCCTGATATGTTATCCACCGAGCAAATTTTCGCCATATAAACATTGTTGTAGAATTGGAAGGAATATAAAGCCAGGCAACACGCATTACTTGATACGGAACATCATTTTTTTTAATTTTTTTTTACTTTTAACATTTCTTTGCACTATCGTCAACAACTGTAAGAGCAAACTAGTATATATATTCTAAAACATCCGCCTGCACATTGAAATTGGTTTGCATGGTCGCTATAGCTTTAATGAATCCGCCCAGCGACGTATATATTACGTCTCTGATCCGCCATATAATTATTGAAACATATCAAACTTGTTGAAAACATTAAGCGGTACAAGTATGAATTTTAAATAGGCTGATTCCTGCCCTTTGAAGATAACAAAGGAGAGGCGCCCGTCTTCAAAGCCTGTCAACTTTTACCGTTAAGTGACCGCGAGATTCTCTTCATGTATATATCTCATCAACAAGGTGGCGCATTTTTTAGCTACATGCTTTTGTTTCTATGTGGCTACCACCCATCACAACATCCGCGCTTACTTATATCAATTAATAAGGCCTCGAACACAAACCGATGTCGCATCACGTGTCCAACTTCTTTTATAGATCTGTAATATAGATCTGTGAAAAATACATCTAATTAAGGCTTGTCGTTGAACAACGTGCAACGACAAACAACACGGGGACACGTGAATTTGTGTTGCATGCTCAGATCTACACGTGACTGTAAAGCACGTTGTCTGATCCACAGAAAAATATATGCGCAATGGACTAATGCGCATAAATATGTTGTCTTTGCGACATGGCGGCGAAGTGTAGAATGGACAGACTCTGGTTGATATCTAGCTGATTCACAATACCCAGGAGGACTTGAGGAGCACACACATATCGTAGTAAGTTTATTCCAATTATTTTCCTGATATTCAAAGTATGCCACCAACGACAATTCTTCAAGATTAGCAATTTCGTACGTAATGGTGACAGTTTCACGCGATTGTGAGATGTTGTTACGTATAGGTGAAGACGTTTCGTCATTTCAAATAAATGGACACATGTATGATATTTCTTTAATATTACAAGTCAGTTTGCTATTCCGACAAGCTCTTCATTAAATATAGATGACTGTATCAATTGTATATATGTATATGTGTGTCTAGATGTTCCAAAATAGGGTTTATTAGACGTTTCGCACTATTGAATATAGTCAATGAGACTATTCGCCCCATATTGGTTCATATAGGTCAGCTGTATCTATTTACATCAGTTATATAAGCTTCATCCTATAACGCTCCTTAATATCTTTTACTCGATATTTATTTATATTCTTGATTTTATGCTCTATATGATGCACCTCATCAGTGCCTGCTGTATATTCAACATTAATTTATGTACAATATATATATATAGTTCCTGCGTGACTTAGGTCACTTGGGTTGAACTTTGCTTCAAAATCCTTCCAATGATGGTTCAAAGTAGATTTAAAGCCATTCACTGCATTCCAGTCATCTTTACTCTTACTCCTATAACATAAGACTGTAAGAGGCCACTGGTCGGCCTTTTTCTATCGGATATAATTTTGCCGACTGCGACGCACAAGGTAATTCTTTGATGCAGATTCTGCCCGAAATCCGGGCGGAACAAAATCGGCTTGAAAAACTCAATTAAGTGGTGAACAGTTCATGACAACGATGTCTACTCACAGTTCATATAATATAGATCTCATATGTATGCCACAGACACAAATATATGGTATATTACGGGATATAACACTCAAAATACATGTCCATGTCGTTGTTGCACTTCTTTGACCTACTTCTACAACATGGCTTCCTGGGTTGATACAAAGTAGCAGGGATAATTTCGAACGGAACGAAATGAAATTGAGTTTGTTTGTATTTCGCTTGAAGAACATTACATGTAATCCATTTTTGTATTAATCGGAAAATCATGGCAAATGTTGTCTGCTTCACTTCGAAAGAGGAAAAACTCATTATTTATGTATTTGACACGAAATTATTCTTACCTAATTATGGATTTATAGAAAGGAATATTCATTGGGCCCTGTTGAAAATTGAAATGTATGTGAACACACTGGTCCCGGTGATTTTTCTCCATCTAGTTTTGCCAAATTTTTGAAAACTGTACTTAATGTATCTTGGTTTATTGTGAGAATGGATGTTACTACATTGATTGAATTTTCTACTTCTGGAATTTTCCTGGTGTCTTACTCTGTACAAACACTACTTAAGAAGTAGTTAAGTATTTTTGCTTTCGCACATTGATCTACTTCCAAGTTGCCTCCATCCGTTTCTAGACTTGGTACTGTTTTCCTTTACTTTTGTTTTTGATCAGACATATTTCCAAAAGTTTTTCGGGTTGGCCTTTAGATCTTTTGCCACTTTTTCCTCATATACTCCCCAACTCCTTTCCTTTGAGCTATTTACAGTTGCTCTATTTCTTGCTAACCTGTAGTGTTCGTAATTTTCAGGAGTTTTATTTCTCGAGTATTGTTGCCACGTTCTCACATCCTTGCGCCATCTTTTGACCTAATATTGGTAAATTTTCGCTTCATAGTTGTCGTAGCTCACTCGGACGCGGTCACAATTTTCACTCACCATGGCTAGTCATTTTGTTTACAATGAAATGGCGTGCTATGCGCATGTGTTGTAGGAGGGAAATCCTTGATAAAACATTGATCAGACAGGTAGAAATCCCGATAATTATCTTAGAATTATTCTTTTTTTATGAATATATATCGGCCAAATCTGATCGTTATTTTTCATAAAGACTCGCTTGATGTTAATGTAGTATTTGAAAAAAAAAATGAAAAAAAAAATACACTTGATCATGTTGTCACTTAAAAAATGATATATATTATGCCCAATTTTATTTTTAACCAGATTGAAAATAAAGTGAATCCATTGTTGCATGTCCAAAATGTTGTTCACAAACTTTTCTCCAAGTTTTAATTTCTTAAGTTGACATGTATACTTAATGTGATTATTATTACCCCAGCCCATCAAAGTCAACGCATTTATCGGGACAATAACAAACTGTTAGTACATTATTCAATCTCGGCAAATATGGAAAATCTACCCATTGATAAATCCAACCGAAAATTATTAGGTGGTTTGAAAGGGTGAATGATACGAACCCAATTATATCTACCGTTCCCATTTTCCGTAATTCCAAAAGTGAAACCAAACCGCCAACTACCTTCAAGGAGACCTGGAACCACGGTAGAGACGTCAAACCCATCTTCAGAGTGGTACCGGCGAAGCACACGGAACTTTAATCCATTTGTTTACCTACCTGGACACTTCAGCACCATTTATCCAATGAATACTGTTATCTAATTACCACTAGTGTAGTATACATGTACTTTACAATATCCATTTTCAAGTAATGATAATCCATCATTGTTATCATGATCTTTATTTACTACTCACAATGCATTCATCATTAACTCTGCCATAGTCATGTGTTAGCTTGGAAAAGTCTGCCAAATTATGGACTCATTAACTATGACGTCACTATTTACACCTTGTGATCGTTGCCAGGCAGAGGCACCGCATTTCATACTTTAGGTCTGTTTTTAATTGTATACAATTGTTCTGACGACGGATTATCTAATAAGCTGAAACTAGTAAACTGCAATAAATTTGCCAAGTAACTTCAAGTGGATGTTGTCCAGTCATCTTTTTACTTCATTTCCATTACCCCCTGGACTGGACTATCAAATTCCATAGGAATCCATCCCTTGGAGGCGCTGAACCAATACGTACATTCATTCACGGACGTTGGATCACCCCCCCCCCCGTATTAATGAGATTATGAAAACTTTTAAAGATAAATGTACTAAAGTCAGTGTGTAGCTAAAATTAACTGGGTATATTTGCTGGCATCCAGGTACATCATCATCACTGGCGATAACTCAGATGGTAAAGGGCTGGGTTTGTATCCTGGTCTATCCATGCATTTGGCATTGTGAAAATTAACTATAGCTTTGTAGTGACTTGTTAGCTGGTAATCTTATGCCAGAAGATTGTACATCAGTGTAAGCAATCAGTCTGTACATTGACAATACACCAGCTACATATGCAATATAGTTAATGCATATATATGTATGTATACCAAATCAATCAAGACAATCCTTTTCTGTGCATGCGACTCATATTGTAATTTCTATTACAGATATATGCTGCAGAAAATAGATTTGCTGTATTAACACATCTGAAGTGAGGATACAGATCTAGTCAAAATGGAGTGGCATATCATGAATGTTGACGGGCTGAACAGCCTGTCGAGTAACCTGGGTATGGTGGAGGATGGTGTCTATATCCCGTCCTGTAACAGTCAAGGTCAGTACATATCTCTTCAAATCCATTTGCATGATATGTTAAATGCTAATATTAATGATTCCACTTGAGGATCTCGCTGCCAGAAACTGTAACAATACCCTTTAACTTTTTTTCCAGCATGACTATAGCTTAAAAAAATCCTTTCTGAAATGAAAACCATCCTTTGCAGGACTTTTCGAGAGAAAAACGAAAATTGAAACCAGTTAAAAAATATCAGAAATGTTTTGACAGTAAAAATCGACAGGGCTGGACCAGTATTAAGCCTGGACCTCCAATCATCATATACTGCCTGTCTAACCAGCTGAGCTATATATACCTGGGCAGTGGTAGTACCATGGGCCTGTTGCCTTATATTTGTTATATTTCCAATTTGCTACAATACAACTGAGAATAATATTAAATTATTAAAACTCCCTGAAAAGGCCAGTAATAATCTAACCTATACATTTCTATGAATATACATTTAAAGCAGATGTAACATATAATGAAAACGTTTTTTGATTCAGGCTTGTATTTATATAATACTGTAGGAAAGTTGCGAGACTTTATACTTTAAGGATGTTGAGGTGTACGTACATGTTTATACATACACAGGGGTTTCATTTGTAGCAAGTTTAAATTAGCGGCTAAAAAGAAAAGAATTCTATACGTCAGAAACATGTATTTCACCGGCTATATTCATGAAAAATACTGGAAGAGTGCTAATAGGGTACTGTGAAATGTGCGAAAACACCTGCATACGTCAGGACAGAAACACCTGCATACGTCAGGACAGTAACACCGACTTTTGTTTCCCACAGAGATACTAGAGGAGAATGTAGAGTTCCTGATGAAAGACACACTAGAGAAGACATACAGACGACTGCTGTTTAATAATAAATTCCCCGAGAAGGTAATTCATCAAACAGTGTGTCATGCTTCAGAAACTACTTCCATTTCTCTACCAGTACAACAGTATGAGATTCATGCTTGTAAATAGTTAACTGACTTGTTACCTATGCCTATATAGTAGTCTAACTTTACATTGTTACTATTAATCACTTACCTGATCATGATGTCACTGTTTTATCTTCCCCTGATATTACATGTTATTGTAATTATATATTTAAATAACTGACTTACATTACTGTAACCAATGTTAGAAATTTTCACAACAAAGTTAGGTAGCCTGGGATATACTGTGTTGTAATCAGCTTTTCACAAAAGCTGTTCAGAATTTAACAAAACTTTATACGAGTGTTTGTTTATCGAGAGGTGTGTGTTTAAGGCCTTTCCAATTTGTCATCGAAGATGGCTGCTGTTGCCTCTGATTGGTCGCAATTAATATATTGACTAATTTGTTTAAATTTGGTATGTAGTTGTATAATCCCAGGGGAAAAAAAGGTACATTTGAGGTACACTTTTTGGGGTACTTAAGCCATGCCTTAGGTACATTTTTGGTAAGAAAAAAAAAGAGGACAGAATAAGAGGGGTTAAAACCTGTTCAATATAGGTACATTTTAGGCACATTTAAGGCATGCCTAAAATGTGCCTTTTTTATACCTCTGACTGAGGTATACCTAAAATGTGCCTAAATCGTACCTCTGACTGAGGTACGTATACCTTAAATGTGCCTAAATCATATCTCAGGCAGAGGTATACCTAAATCGTACCTCAGTCAGAGGTATACCTAAAATGTACCATGGTACTGCTAAATTAATTATAATCTATAGCATAGTTATAATCCTACATCATGTACATGTATCTAATTAACATGATAGTGTATTTTTCACCTGACTACATTTTGGCTACAGGAATTGTTGCCCCTGATAATGTACATCCAGGATGACCACACTAACTTGCAGGAAGCACTTAGGTGAGTTTTCTCTATCTCGGCTAGAATCCTAGTGTTACCAAATGTTGTAGTTTGTTAGCTTATAATTATAATGTAAGGGGGATTTTTTCAATATCTTGATCTAAGAGAAAGTCAGAATTCTGTATTAGGATTGTAAAAAAGCAACTTCTAAGAGAGAGAGTCAGAATTCTGTATTTGGATTGTAAAAAGCAACTTCTAAGAGAAAGTCAGAATTCTGTATTAGGATTGTAAAAAGTAACTTCTAAGAAATGTCTGAAATTGTAATTATTTTGAAAATCAATCCATCTTGGAAATATTCCTGAATACTGAACTTATTTATCGTGAGTGTTTTCATTTAAATTTTGCTAAATTTCACCTTTTATGCCTTGTGCCAGCTGGGATTCAAGTAATTGTAGTTAATACATCAACTTATTCCCTGTGATATTTATACATTTTGTTATCAAAGGTTAAAATATATCTACCAACCTAGCATATGTTTTTAAATTGTCAGAACCTTTAACAACCTTTTCTTTTTTTTACTTTAGAAGCTTTATTCCAATTAAAACAACTTATTCCAATTAAAACAACTTGTACATTATTGAGGTTTGAATTATGCCTGTAAAATATGAGTTTTGTTGTAGACTTATGATCCTGCTGACCAATCCTGTGGATTGTTATTTGGAGACAAGTGTGGGAGAGAGAACCAAACCTCCCTGGGCCACAGAGCTGGAGAAGGCCATCAAAAAGACCATCGAAAAGTCATTTTGTAGAGCTTTCCTCACACCCATCCTAGGGGAAGTGAAGCTCCTTCTAGAGGAGGTACAAATAACATCAAAACTGAAGTGCAGTATACTATAATTCTATAATTTGTGTATAAATAAGTGCAGTGTTCTCGTCCCCATGAGCTTTTTTTTGCTTTTATTTTGTTCCTTTAGCAATAAAACAAGAGTCATATATTTGGTCAGGATCTTACTGGCATGGAGTGTGCAACAGTGTTGATTACAGAGTATAGGACCAAAAGTTTTCCACAAAAGATTAATAATCCTGCATAATTGTTATGAACCATTTTCATTTGTTTGCAGTATTGTGAATTATTTTTGATTTTCTCAGGCTGGACCATACGACCTAATGGATGATGCAGTGCTGGCGATAAACAACTGTATTTTCATGATTCGCAATCTTCTTTATATGTACGAGTCCAACCCAGATCAGTCCACTTTGATTCAGCACATAGAACATGTGAGGTAGGTAATACTTGGCCAAAGTCACAACAAATCTGGTAGGCGTTGCTCTTACAGAATTATACTGAGTCCAGTAGGTCAAAGGAATTATTTTGGTGAAGTCCTAGACGATCTACATAATTTTCTGGACAAATTGGATATATGTTTCTTGTGTGTAAAATCATTGTCCCATTTATGACAGCAGTTGCACAGGAGTATAGGATATTTCTATCTTCCATAGCTATGGGTGTAGGATATCTCTCTCTCCAATACATGTTAGTGTATAATACATGAAGGATAGAACAGTCCCAAGCAGTCACAAGGTAATGTAGCATATGTAACGTTGATATTTTAGTTTTCAAAGTAAAGAACTCTTTTTTAAAGGAGATTAATTTCAGTAGGTAGTCTATATCCTTTAATACATGTAACAAACTTACTGATATACATTTGTTCTTCCATTACAGACTCCTGTTGGATTGTGGATATGAAGATGTCCTTGTTTCTCTTCTTCAAAAGAAAGAAATGGTATTTACTAATATTTCTGTTTAATCATATAATTTAGTTATTTAGTATAATACATCCAATCAACATAACCCAAATTGTAAAAGTCTGTCTTTTGTGTGTCACTAAACTGTTACAGCCTGTTTTCAGTATATATATCTTCTATATTAATGGTCTTTGGGCTTATTAACGAGATGCAGTGATGATAATTACAGATTGTGTATATATGTGTGCTGTTTATTACAGAGCAAGTGGAGTAGTGGTATCATGCAGGTCAGCTGGATGATATATAAAGGGAAGGTAAGTCTGTGTATGAGTATTCAACTGAATCTCCAGCCAATGATTCTCCACCTGTGTGTGGACACAATAAGTACAAATGATTCTCCACCTGTGTGTGGACACAATAAGTACAAATGATTCTCCACCTGTGTGTGGACACAATAAGTACAAATGATTCTCCACCTGTGTGTGGACACAATAAGTACAAATGATTCTCCACCTGTGTGTGGACACAATAAGTACAAATGATTCTCCACCTGTGTGTGGACACAATAAGTACAAATGATTCTCCACCTGTGTGTGGACACAATAAGTACAAATGATTCTCCACCTGTGTGTGGACACAATAAGTACAAATGATTCTCCACCTGTGTGTGGACACAATAAGTACAAATGATTCTCCACCTGTGTGTGGACACAATAAGTACAAATGATTCTCCACCTGTGTGTGGACACAATAAGTACAAATGATAACCTAAGGGACTCAAACCTGACAGGCTATCAATTTTATGGCTAAGAAATGTGAAAGAATAGAATCGGTGTTTGCTGTCATGTGTTTGTCTGAACATACATATATTGATGTATGGGATATTTATTATCAAGTGTGTTACAAAATGAATCTTAAAATGCCTTTTGTAAGGTCTTAAGGTAGTGTATATTTGTGTCAATTTCCATGACCAGATTTTCACATTGGCAAAATTTCTTCATGTCAGATGAGGTCAAATTCAGGTGAAGGTCAAATTTCCAAGCCAATTTGATCTGAAAGGAGCAAATAAGTCATTTTCAGGTTAAACATTTGACCAGAGTTTGACCTTAATTTGGCCTGAAAAATGTCTTCATGTCAAGTTAAGGTCATATAATATAAATTATGTGTCTTGAAAAAGTTAGTTTCTTGTCAAATTTACCTAAAATAAAATTGTCAATGTACAGATTCAAATCACATTACCGGTAAATTTCCACTGATCTTATAATTTTTGAAATTCTATTACAGACAAATGGACTGTTTTCAAACCTGACCGACAATAAGGTGCATTGGGAGCCAATGATCGAGTGTATGCCCATGGGAGGAGGACGAATGTCCGACCTAGATGGGTCAGATACGTGTGGCCTAAATCACGTGTTTGATAACACCTGTAGCATCCTAGACGGCAGTGAACAGGGTAGCCAGAGTTCAGACAACTTTGATAGCTTTCTCCTTCGCCGAGAGTCCAACAATCTCCTTAAGATCACAGCGACCATGTCACTTTGGACGTCGGAAGGAATGGTAGAATTCAGGTACGTTGTGGTCTTTGTTCTTTGTCTGGGTTTTTTCTAGCCCTTACTTTTGGAAAGAGATTATTTTTCTATTTTGGAAATTTATCAACAAACAATTTTGTAATTGTGAAATTTGGAAGATCACTTTTTCGATGTAGCCTATTTCTTGAAATATTTGTACATATGTATACTTTTTTTAACATATCTTAATAACATTATGCATGAATTGCAAAAAAAACCATATAATTTGTAAATTGGTAAAAATAGAAGTTAATTTTCGTTGGGAAAGGGTCTGTTTGCTGATATTGATAGTAGAGGTCTGAGAAAAGTCATTACTTCACAAGTTGTCTCCACAAATCAGATTTCAGGTTGCTCATGTGTAATAATAATTATAATATTTCTTTAATAAGTCGTACCATCCTGTGATCTTTTCTCCAGAGACAAACTAACAACGTTCACTACAAGGATTTTAAAAGGTGGTTTCATGGCCGTCATTTCTGACATAATGGTAAGCTAATTTATTGTTAACATTTCAGACCTAATAAACTGTTTAAGGGCATTGCTCTATTTTATACTTCAGACCAATTTCTAGTCTAAACTAATTTTCAAATAGCGGTAGCTGGTTCATGATTGGTCAGACATGGCTATAATTGATAATACTATTACAAAATGTAAAACTCTTCTTCTGAACTGAATATGTTATCATGGTTATATGTGGTTCAGTGTGATGAAATTATTCTGTAGTACTTGGAAGCTGATGACCTCTGAAAAATTGTTTATAAGATATGGTGTCTTTTATCAAAGTAGGGGATAGAGTGGCTTATATATCAATTAGTTCTGTGTAAAAGATACATTATAGCTGTCTACCCTCCCTCATTTTGATCAAAATTTACCGATCTCCGTCAAAACTCAAAATTTACATCCTGTGTTCAAATGATCTCCTAGTTAGTGCAGGATGTGTGTAACAGGTGTGTTTGAATCAAATGAATGTTTTTTGGAGTTATTTTGATAAATAAAAAGGGAAAGATAAATTTAGCAAAGCAGTTTCAGACCTGCTTCAAACACTTTCTCCCTCATTGGAAATGTGGAATGAGGAAGACCTCCCTCATTGGAAATGTGGAATGAGGGAGACCTCCCTCATTGAAAATGTGGAATGAGGGAGACCTCCCTCATTGGAAATGTGGAATGAGGAAGACCTCCTTCATTGGAAATTTGGAATGAGGGAGACCTCCCTCATTGGAAATGTGAAATGAGGGAGACCTCCCTCATTGGAAATGTGGAATGAAGAAGACCTCCCTCATTGGAAATGTGGAATGAGGGAGACCTCCCTCATTGGAAATGTGGAATGAGGGAGACCTCCCTCATTGGAAATATGGAATGAGGGAGACCTTCCTCATTGGAAATATGGAATGAGGGAGACCTCCCTCATTGGAGGTTTCAGAGGTTGACACTTGTGTACATTATGTTCTCTTTGGACTTGTAGAACCAGTTGACATCTAAAGACATTGTGTTGGACGAAGCTTACCTGTTCTGGATGTTAGCATTGTTCATGAGATTTGCAAAAACAACACAATTGCCAGTAAAATCTGTCAAGTAAGTGTTCAACTGAAATAGATATTAGGTGCTTAAACCTTGTTAGTATCTACCAAGGAGATAGGCTTGAAATTACAAGTCACTCTACTGAAAATGCCACAATATCTACCCACAATTATTCATACTTAAACTGGGCCATTTTCGTTTAAACTGTTAAACCGGTCGGACTGCAGTTGTTCGTTTATTAAATAAGGTCGGACCTAGTAATCTGATGCTGCTTTCAGACGAGCCTCGACAAAGCCTTGGAAGGCCTGCATAAACATTTATGTATGATTTATACCCGAAATTGTTACATTTATAAACGTGCAAACCGGTTGTTCCGCATAAATGAACAGGCTCCAGATAATGACTCTGTAGTCGATCAATCAGTTCAATTAATCAAACTGAACAGTGCTTGTTGCTTGGGTTTAGAGACAATATACTGATGTTTGTAGATGATGTCACTTCTAGGTTAAATGTTCATACATCCCAGTTATCTGTGAATGAACTTTTTTTTCATGCAGGATGATTCTTTCATTGTTAAGTTGTATACTTCTCTTCATTGAAAAATATCATTTTTAACAATTGGAAACATTCTTTCAGAGTGTCATCAACAGAAAGCAGTACTTGTTTTAGTATAACAGGCATGTCATTATTGAAATAAGATATAGAATTGAAGTTTTTAATTAAAAGAAAATTGGAAACATTCTTTCAAAGTGTCATCAACAGAAAGCAATACTGGTTTTAGTATATATAACAGCCAATTATTTACCACCCATAAAAGTAGAACTGGTAGTTAAAAAAAGAAATAATGATTCCTACAACAAGCTGATCATGCTAGCTAGTACCAAGCATTATAGAGATACACTTTTCCCACAGAGTGACATGAAGTGATCCAGGGAGTGATGTGTAATTATCCAATGAGCTTTGGCAATTTTTTTCATGTGATATATATACTTATATCCAATCGTTTGTGACTGTTGTAGACAAGTTTTGACAAAGGACATGGTTGGTTATCTCACATACCAATGCTTCATCAGAGCAGAGGACATCTTTGTGCACCAGACGTTTACAAAGAAAGAGCCCCAGAAGTAAGTGTGTGTAGTGACATTACCATATTGATTGATACTTCAATGATTCCACTTGTTCTCATAAAAAATGTGGTGTAATATTTTACGGGAAGAGGAAAGTTTAGGTCTGACTTAAGATTCTAAATTGAAATATCACAAGGTGTTTGATTGACATTGGAAAGTCCGTTATTTACCAATTTTTGGGTATGACTGTTTTTATTATATATATATATATATAAATAGCTGAAACGCATTTAAAAAATCTGAAAATATATTTTCATGAAACAATATGAGCTCATTTGTAATTTTGGCCATCAGATGTGTTGTAGATTATATTTGATTTTGTGTGTGCATAATGTCTGTTGTCAATTACACCTGGGCTCATATTCATGAATCATTTCTCATTCCCAAGCATGCATTCTGTACTCAACCCAGCTTTTTAGCGCACCATCATCTGAATGTGGGCTATTCAAATCGCCCTGCTTCATGTTCCGTAGTCCCTCCCTAAACAATTTTTGTTATCGATATTTCTCAGGAAGTACCAGAGAGATCTTTCTCAAAGTTTATATGTAGGTTCCCCTTGGTCCCTAGTTGTGCATATTTTCTTTTGAGACTGATCAGTATATCAAAATGGCCGACAGGCAGCCATCTTGGATTTTGACATTGGCTATTTCTCAAGAAGTACTTGAGAGATCTTTCTCAAATTTTATGTGTAGGTTCCCTTGGTATGTAGTTGTGCATGTTTAATTTTGAGACTGATCAGATAAACCAAATGGATGACAGGCCACCATCTTGGATTGTGACATTAAATTTTGTTATCGCTATTTCTCAGGAAGTACTTGAGGGATCTTTCCCAAATTTGTTATGTAGGCTCTCCTTGATCTGTAGTTGTGCATGAACAAAATGGCCTACAGGCAGCCGTCTTGGATTTTTACAGTGAAAGTTTGTTATTGCTATTATTTAGGAAGCACTGGAGGGATCTTTCTCAAATTTGACATGTAGGTTCCCCTTGGTATATAGTTGTGCATGTTTTCTTATGAGACAGATCGGATACACAAATCTTTGATTTGACAGTTAAGGTTTGTTAGTGCTATTTCCCAGCAAGTACTGGAGGGTTCTTTCTCAAATTTCATATGCAGGTTCCCCACTGTCCTTTATTGGACGAGTTAACTTTTGAAACTGTTCAGATAAAAAAAAAAGGGCGACTGGCAGCCATCTTCGATTTTTGACATTTAGTGCTATTTCTTAGGAATAACTTGAGGGATCTTTCTCAAATTTGATATGTGGGTTCCCCTTGACCCCTCATTGTGCATGTTATATTTTGAGACTGATCATAAAAACAAAATGCCAGAAGGAAGAACTAAACAGATCTTTATTATATTGTAATGATCGGTTCTATTTCTTTCCCATTACTGGTAAGTACTGTACTAGTAAATATGTGAAATGACAAACTCACTTTGAAGGTTGTATTTTATACACAGCAGTACACTATATTAAGTTTAGAACAAAAGTTACCTCAAGGTGAACTTACTGTTAACATGACTTGATCAAACAGATTAGAGAAAAGAAGAAACTGACAAAGAACTAATGAAGATGGTACAATGGTGGGTGCCAAGATCCCTCTGGGATCTTTTGTTGAAACTTGCTGAAATAAAATGTGTCATGGTCAAAAAGTAAAATGTAAACTTTGAAAATGATATTCAGCTTTATGTCTTTCTGAATTCTTCCAAATCACTGACACATTGTGTAGTTTTATTTATCATTGGAATAAGAATTTGGTCTTAGCCTAGAATCTGAGTTAATTAGAGGGAATAGATTTCAAGAGTACATTCCTGTGGTCTCCATGTCACTATTTGATTTATACATCGTGTCTTGTATTTTAGATTACACCTGGCACTATGTGCTCTGAAGGAAATCTTGGAGTTCCTGTATAATGTTCAACAAGTGGACAATCTGAATGAGGAAGAGAAACAATACATCCAGGGCCTCAACAGTCAGTTTTACATAGAGAATATACTGTAACTTCACAGTCAGTTTTACATAGAGAATATACTGTAACTTCACTGTACACTTTACATAGAGAATATACTGTAACTTCACAGTACACTTTACATAGAGAACATACTGTAACTTCACAGTGCACTTTACATAGAGAATATACTGTAACTTCACAGTACACTTTACATAGAGAATATACTGTAACTTCACAGTACACTTTACATAGAGAATATACTGTAACTTCACAGTACACTTTACATAGAGTATATACTGTAACTTCACAGTGCACACATGAATATTAAAACTTCACACATGACAATACTATTTCATGCACGAGAAAAAATACATTTCAGTCATGAAACATGAAGTTTTCACATACGAAGGAGTAAAAACATAACCATAAAACTTAACTTATGAAACAATCAAATTTCGCACTTGAAACATTAAATCTTCACAAATGAAAAAGGAAAACTTCACATGTTAGAAACAGTAATACTTTACTCAAAGGAAGTATTAAAATTTCATAAATTATATAGATACTTTGCAACATTTTGTAATTTCCTTATGGGAGCCTCCGCATGCTGAAAATTACAAACATTGATAGAATGTGTGTATATACTAAATAACGCTTTATAATGGCGTCTTTTGAATTGTTCTTTCCGATGAAGCAATTTGATATTAGAATAGGGGAATAGTTTTAAAGCAAATTTACTGGTTGAAAATGTTAGTTTTAAGGTCCAAAATAAGGTGTCTCCCTCCAAAATGTGGGCTAGTATGGATATAGCAAAAATTCTCACTTAGAAAGTAAAAGTACACATACATGAAATAGAAAAATGTCACACATTAAATAGTAACTCTTCATACAAAATTGTTACAGATGCCATCTGTATGTGTTACAGAGACGCTGGCAGCTATGACAGACCTGCCCCAACTGATGGTATACCTGGTACGCCACTGCTCCATAGAGCTACTCGGCGGCTCCTTCCTTGAGGACCTGGTCTTTACAAATCATCTCCTGATGCTGCATCTGGATAAATGGATCAACACTGGACTGACTCGGAAATCCTTCAGCCTCCTCACCCATGTCCAAAAGTAGGTTGTCAATGTACATCAGAAAAGCTTCTTTCACTTTTGGTCAATTCCTCTCTGTTTCACTGGATTAGTGGCTTGCTTCTAGGTATAGTCAGTATAGGTTCTTTGAAGTAATAGACCTAATGTATTCCAATGCAAGTTATAGAAGGTGACTACGGTAGTAATGTACCCCCCAACCCCTCGGGGACATTTGAGAAACCATTAATAGAGATGCTGTACCCTAAGGCATGTGTATCGTAAGAGGCATCTGATCTGGTATTCCTAGTTGAATTTTACGTTAACTTTGGTGTCCTCTGCTAAGAAGACATAGAAGAGACCCTTATTGACCTGGGTATTCCTAGTTAAATTTGACGTTAACTTTGGTGTCCTCTGCTAAGAAGACATGGAGAGACCCTTGTTGACCTGGGGTCCCTATTACAACACTTGGAATTTCTATGTTTATGGCAATCTCCTCCTACATTTTTCAACGGATCTCTTTGAAACTTGGTATACATTATAATCATGATATGATGTTGTGTCTCCCTTAAAAGAATTTTGATTCGACAATTTTTCCAAAAGAAATTGCCCATTGTTCATTTCATTATTTGATTTTTTGTCCGGCAATCTCCTCCTACATTTTTTGACGGATTTCTTTGAAACTTAGTAGGCTAAATAATCATGATATGTTGTGTTTCCTTGAAAAGAATTTTGATTCAACAATTCTTGCAAAAATTATTGCCCTTTGTTTATTTCAGTATTTGTTTTTTATCCGGCAATCTTCTCCTACATTTTTCAACGGATCTCTTTGAAACTTGGGTTACATTATCATCATGATATGTTGTTGTTTTCTTGAAAAGAATTTTGATTCAACGATTTTTGCAAAAGTTATTGGCCTTTGTTTCATTTCAGTTGAGATTTTCTCCTACATTTTTTATAGCATATCAGCTAACCACTCTTAAAATGATGCAGATCTTATTTCAATGTAAGAAAGTATATAACGCTATATGGCATTCGACGGGCGTATATTGTTCCGCCCCGTAGTACTCTTGTTCAATTTTACCTTTTCCTGTCTTTAACGATGTCACCCTAGGCACCCATTTCACCTATATTTGAAAATATACAGAGGGGCCCTTGCTTTAATACCTGTCCAGTGTTTTAGTTGGATTAAAACTTGCAGTCAACACAAATTCAGTGTAACAAAATAAGACTGACTGTAGCTGTTTTATATTACTAGCTATGCTACGTTTGGAATTATGGGGAAGTATGGCAGACTACTGGAGCAGTTCCTAGACAACCCTATGGAACTCAACAACTGTCTGTTCACCATGATGCACCATGTGGCAGGCGACTGTGGCTCACCAAGCGTCCTCCTGCAGAAACCCATCCTCGACACATTTCTGGAGATAAACGACCAGGAGCTGTTTGTGTCAGATGTAAGCTATGTAGCATGTCTTGATGGTCTTGTAACCATGATTGTCAACCAAATGATATGTACACTACTGAGAATGTTTAGCTTGTGAGGGGGACCACATGGGTTTTTATTACCTTGATTGTGTTTGTGTTGAAATGAATTCAATCTGTAATGTTTAGCTTAAATTTTTTAAAACATGTTTTGATTTATATTCATTGTATATGTAATCTATGTAATATTATATATTACAGTATTTACCTTGTGTTGAATTTAATGTGAAACAGGGACGAAATTGTCACGTGTTACAGTTTTCACAACAGATATTTGAATTTACTTTCAAAAAATATTCATCTTCTGACAAATGACTGGTTTTGATAGTGGATAAAGCAATGAACTCCTTCCATTTAAAATATTTGACAAAAGATCATTTTGAGAATGCTAGCACAAACTGTCAGTTGTTAGCATGTCAATATATATATACATATGTATATGAGTAACATGACTGTGATTTCACCCTGTAGGAGGTAGATGATCTCATTGAATTCATCATCAACAAGTTCATCACTACAGCTGAGGATGATCCCTACCAATGTGCCATTCATATGTTCAGCGAGCATACAGCCAGTGACTGCGATAATTTTGATGCGTAAGTTGTCTTGTGTGTAGCAGATTTTAATTGTACATAGGATTACCGTCGCCTTCTAGCACGAAAATCTTGATGCTTAAGTTGTCTGTGCATCAGATTTTAATTGTACATAGGATTACAGTCACCTTCTAGAGTGAATTTCCTTTAAGCTTGATAGGCAGAGCAAGGGACTGGAAAGCTGAGGGTCGCTGATTCAGTTTCTAATGGAAATAAACTTCTCCCTTTTCCTGTTACGTGAGAACTGGCCTTAAAAGTAATGTGCCACTTCATTTGGTTTTCTCGATTTTGAAAATTGTGATTATCAAAATATTTCACCGTTTTTTTTCTCTCAAAATATATGCCTCATTTAACTATCATCACCTAGTTGTTTGGGACAGAAAATAAGTAATCTTCGTTTTAAGTTAATGTTCTGTTGATGACTCGGTGAGCAAGTGAATCCTGGGATAACTTGCTGAGTTCGGTAAGATAGTGTAAGTCACAGGACAGCTCTATGAGCTTCAGAAGAGAATGTCATTCCAAGGATCACATACTGAGCATAGTTAATTAATAAGGCAGGTACTTTGATAACTTGCCATTCATAATAAAACAAGGCAAGTCCCTATATGACTCACGAAATGTAGCTATCGTACATAAGGTAAGTCCTTGATCTCCCGGTAAGGTACGTTTGATAACTCTAAGAGAATTGTGAAAATCAGTTGAATGTTGACAATCTTATAATAAATAAAGAAATAAAACAAAATAAAGAAATAGAACAAGTTAGGATTTACATGAACTTCAATGTTTATTTTCTGTAAACTTGTAATAACTAGAGGATAACATGATCAAGTATTTCAAAACAGAAGAAAATTAAGCATATTACCAATATTGTACCTGTATACATTTTAAAGCTATAAAAGTATGAGTGACATCACCCATCTTATTGGACATTTATTGAACCCTTTGATTTTCTGTGGTTTTAGAGAGTTGTTGAGCCAAGGCAGCACTGATGCTTCAGTAGAAACAGTTTGGTCCTCTGAGGACGATGACATCCTCATCATGGTGTACATGGAGTCGGAAGACAAGTCGAAGATTGTGGACGAGATCCTTCGTCACTTCCAGGAGGTTGATAAGAATAAGACAAGAGAACAGGTGAGTAAGGATAGATCAACTGAGGCCACACACAGGATTCTGTTTGTCTTGATTGGTGTCCTTCCCCTATTTTATCTGCCCGTCATTTTTGTCTTGCCTGCGACGGAGTCGTGAAGCGAGACATATATCTATATATGTCCATCCAAACACACATTTTAGATTATGAATTTTAACAAAAATGTACTGTTAGTTGGACTTTGTTAATTAATTGGGCCGTGTTAAAGTTTTCCGTTTAGCTCCACATTGAGCAAAATTTATATTAGGTTCTGATTGGTCGAAACTCAGTTACTGTTGGATTTCGCTGAAAATTAGTATATAAGGTTAGTGTATTTTTAGCATTGCAAACTCAACTGCAGCGTCCAGTTTGTGATTTGACATAATGGTCACCTATACGATACTGGCTTCTGATTGGTCCAAATTCAGTTATTGTTCGATTTCAATCAAATTTGGTAAGCACATGTATTTTGGCACTGCAAACTCAACCGAGGCATCCGTTTTCTGATCTGCCAAGACAGTTTTCGTATACATGATGCATGATTTGTTGAAATTCACATATATTTTGATTTTGCTCAAATTTGGTATGTACATTACATCCGTTCACCTATTTACATTTGTTTTTCTGAATGCGCGGTTAGTTTGGGGGACATCTGTAATGGCCAGCTCCCATTACAATTAGCACTTGTGCCTTTTATACGTTCATGTTGATGTTTTGCCAAACTTGTTTATAAAATATAAAATTCCGAACTTCGGCTCAAACTTACAAAGCTTGACGCATTGAATCTTATGCTCAAAGCGGTGACAGGCTAGACATATAATTATGCGTAATTATTGTTTCCTTTAAGATGTTACTTGTCCAAAACAGTTGCATAGATTGTAATTAAATTTGGTTTAGGGCATTGTTAGACCAAGTGGAACACAATTTATGTATACAGGAGGTTTCAGTCCCTTTTGGCACAGAGACAGAGGGATGAATAGGTAAAAATAGGGGTAAATATTTGCAATGTTTGACCGCATACCTGTAATTACTCAGCCTTAAGATAATTGTTTCTCATACTCTTGAACTTGTTGTTTTTCTGACCCCTTTGCTTATTGTTTTCCCCAGATAATATGCCAGCTGATTGACAGTGAGTGGATGGAAGAAGAAGACAAGGCCAAACTTCTTGCTCTCTTCCCAGAGTACAAACCACAGCGATCAACCACACCTATCGCACCTGTAAGGTCAAATTCTGTTTACTGTTAAAGTTTGATTCTTATGTGGATCATACATTTGTACTGTAGAAGTTCAATTTGTGTGTGGATCATATATTTTTACTGTAAAAGTTCAATTTTTATGTGGATCATATATTTGTACTGTAGAAATTTTATGTGGATCATATATTTGTATTGCAGAAGTTAAATTTTAATTTGGATCATATATTTGTACTGAAGAAGTCAATTTTAATGTGAATCAAATTCACATAATACTCAAACTAGCTATTCCTGTGAAATGATTTGTATAGAGACTAAATTTCCTGATTATTTATCATTCTGTGAGAATTTCGTAATTCAGAACATTGTGATATATATATGCTGCAGGTTGAAAAATGTTGAAATCCACAGAGGGAATCTTCCAAATTTTTCCATGATTTTGTTAGAACCAGATTGATTTCAAAAAATAAGGATTTATGCTGTAGATTGGAAAATGTAGAAATCCATATAAATTAAAAAATATAGTAATTCACAGAAAGAAACCTAAACTTTTTCATTGATTATGCTAGAACCAGCCTGATTTCACCATCTGTGCAAAGAAACGTAAACATGACGAGGAGAAGGACTGGATCCCATGCTGTGTGCGGAGTCTGGAAGACTCTGGGTGTAGAGGTGCCATTTCCTGGCTCCAGGGTCTCTTCTGTGAGGCAGCCTTTATCAAAATGAGTAAGTCCATGTTAACATGTCCTACTTTTCATAACTCTATCAGAATATAATTTTATACCACCTGCAAACAAGGTTTTTCGGGGGATGTATAGGAATCACTCTGTCAGTCCGTCCGTTTGTCTACCATCCATGATCCTTTTAAGTGCAACTCCTCTAAAAACTGTTGATTGGATTATATTTGTAACTTGCCACAGTATGTCAAAGACACCATATGCAAATGTGCATAAAGAAAATTTACTTATTTTTCCCTGAGATATGGCCATTGAAACTAAAACTTTCTGCTCCAAATTAAAAGTCATGTAACTCCTACTTAGAATTTGTTTGATGTCTTTTATTATGGTACAGTGTAACTACATCAGGTAGATGCCCATGAAGAAAGGTTTTTTATTTGACTATTTTGAGCTTGCTTACAATTTCTCTATTTGTCATTGAAATTACTTGATTCTTATTCCAGACCCAGAGTATATTATCAAAGAGGCAACTGAAGAACCCATAACTAAATTCCATGTGTGTAAGTATAAAACATATCATGTTCAGCTAATCATTTTGTTATGGATTTGACAAGGTCAAATCATGACCAATAGGCACATTGGAGAATAACAAGGTTGAGGGGATTAAACATAGCTCATTGGTGTTGAATCAAAGATATTTCAAATTCAGGTTTAGTCGGTGAAGATTTTGCATGTATATTGAGTTGCATCAGAACCAATCGTTTTTCAGAGCTATGGAAGGTATGGACTATTGCACTCAAGATTTTCTCAATTAAGGCCCCACATGTAGGTGCCCTATAGCAACCACAGTGTATGTCTCTGTGTCTGTCACTGCCCTTTTAAGAGATTATCTCAGAATCCAAAACACTAATCCTTTTGAGATTTGACATGGTGATACACTGTATTATGTAGTTATGCAATAATTTCAAAAGTTTCTAAGGTCAAGGTGACTAGAAATAGACCATGTGGGATAAAGTTGACTTCGGTGTCGCCTAGGAAACCAAGCTGATATCTAAGGATCATTGTTTGCATTGTTGTTGTCAACACAAATTGTTTCTATGCCAAAACTCTTTAAGGAATGCTTTGATTTTCATTTAACTTTCTACTCACCCCTATATTATCAATGACCCTCACACATTTGATAACCTTACATGGCCACATCTTAGACTGTGGAAAGCTACATGTTTCTGTGTAATAAGCCTTGAAGAAATGCTTTGATTTTATGATTTTTTTACACTTGACTATAATATCAACTCCCTGCTTTAAGTTTGATTTTGGCTCAAAATTGAAAAATATACCTGCTGTGGTAAAAAGCTACGTCACTCTTACTGTAAGTATTCAGTCTTTGCGTATTGCAGAGTTATCTGCTCTTGTGAGCAAGTATTGCTTGTTACGTCATTTGTTTGTGAGAGTAACGTCATCGATTTTTGAGAAAATGACGTAATTTTCTCACACAAACAAATGACTAACAATCAATACCTGCTCACAAGAGAAGATAACTCTGCAATACGCAAAGACGGAATAGTTTGATAGAAATTGCTCGACAGACTTCATTTCATTCCTGATAGTCACGAAACACCCCTCACATGGTTACAAATATCGACTCTTTTTCGAGTTTGTGTTTCAACCATCTACAGTCAAAGACTAGGTCACTTTTGTTATGAATATAGTTTGATAGAAATATCTTTACAGACTTCATTTCTTTTCCAGTCATCACAATACTTTACATACATTCACAAACATCTCCTCCTGTACAAGTTTGTGTTTCGACCTCACAGACCTGCTAACCTTTGAATCTCCCAATGGGGGTCATGACCCCCATTGGGAAATTCTGTGGGGGGTGATACCGCGCAAACGAAAATTTGTGTGGAAATTTAATCATTTTGCGGGGTCTCGGCTTTACGGTGTACTATGTTTGCCTTCTGGCAAGCAAGATTAATGACTTTTTTGAAATTATCAAAACATTTTATCACACCTTCATTGTTTTATTACATATTCTTAATCAATTAACATGTTTTTATTTTCCTAGGTGCATACTGAAAGCATGAACCATGTTGATTTAGTTTTGCACATAACAAAGCACATATTGTATCATTTCCTAATTCAGATCTCCCTTCTGTCTGGATCTTCTTCAACATGGAAAATGTTCTCTCAGAGTCAGCATTACTCACTGAAAGTACCAAACATGCCTTCCTTAGCCTACACAACACACCAAACCTAAGATCATTCTCAAAGGGTTCTTTAACTGCATGCCTTTTGATATCGTACGTAGCATCCGAAGCTACCGAAAAATGATTGGTACACAGTTTACAATAGGCATGATCGGGTCCAATATTACTCTTCTGAAGCCAGTCATAATCTTTTTCCCACGAAGCCGTAATTACAGGCATACTTTTTCTTTTTTGACGATGAACACTAAAATAACAAACGTTTTCTCGGGTTAGAAGCCATTTGTGAAAGTGAAATGACAAGCGCTACAATCGGGATTATATGCATTGTAGTAACAGTGAACAGTACTCACCTTTTGATTTTGCCAGGCTGGTTCCGAAACAGGGACGCCATTGTGAAAACAAATCCCTTAGTATACAGACTTTACCTATAACTGAAAGCTAAACTTCCGAGAGACACAAACGGAACATTTCCGCAAGGACGGAGATCCTAAAAAAAGACGCGGATGCGGGTGATTGCGGGTCATATTTACGGAATGCGGGAGATACGTATGGCCCGCGCGGGTCATAAGATCGTCGCGGGTGATAGGTTCATTTTGCGGGTGTGACCCGCAGAATGCGGGTCATTTAGCAGGTATGACCTCAGAGAATACAGAGTTAATAGTATAAAGACTTAAAAGTTTTTCTTCTTGTTTCAGTACACAACAAATCAATACCAATTGTGTGTTTCACTGAGGAACAGGATGGTTTTCTCGCCAACAAGATGTTTTGTACCCTACTGGAGAACCTAGGAATTCACATGCCAGAAGATGTTGGACTCCAGCACCCTCGCATCCCCCACTTCTGGAGCCCCAAACAACTGCTCAACACCGCTGAGAGGTTAGGACCGCTTGATGAAGGTAATCATTTTACTGCAGATCTTGATTTTGGAGTTTTAAGTGAATTGTATGAGGCTCTGGAAAGAGATAGGATTGTGTTATGTATTAATTACTAACAAAGTGATATGCTTTGTATTGTTTCTACAGTTTCTCTGAAGTTTGACAAGATACTGATAACAAAACTGCAGGATGACGACGTTTATAACCTGCCAGAGGCTGACGATGTCATCACAAGGAAAAGTCCCAAGAAGATTGAAAATGACAGGTACATTGATCATCTTTTGATGGTATTCTTATGTGCTTGTTCAGATTCTGTGAGATACTACAGCAAAAAAGTTCAGACGATTTTAAGCCAACTACTATGAGATGGTGGTCTGGTCAGAGTCCTGGTCCCTGTCGGTCCGTCATTCTGTCAGTGTGTCAGTCTACCTGTAAACAAGTTATATGTCACTGAAACTTTTGCCAAATTCCTCTTTGATCTCTTGTTTAATTCCATTTCTAATCTTAAGATTTGGACATTTCCGTACATCTTAAGTAATATTACAGTCCAAAATAGGGGGGGNAACTTATGTGAGAGAAATAAAAAGATAAAAAATAATGTTCTTGTCTGCCGTATAAAGGATATTATATATTACGTAAAGCATTGTATGATGAATTCTTAGCTCTGTGCTCTAAGTATGAATAATATTTTCTGTATCTTCAGTTGCAGATATAAATATGCCCAAGAATCCAGCGGACTGTTATGGACGGACCTTATTCAGAACTTCAACAAGGCTTGAGGGTTCTGTGTGTGTGCCTTCTTTGTTTCTGTTTATCTCGGAAAATATCATTCCAGCAAGAACCTGAAGCTTACTGAGCTGCTTCAATCAACTGTGAAGATGATGTGGTGCAGTTACTATAGTATCAGCAATTCATGTCGTTAATCCTTGAAGAAAAGTAATGTTTTCATTGTATTAACAGTATCTGCAGAACTGGTTAAATGCCTGAACCAACATTGAAATACGATTTTACAGTGTGTTTTTACTGTATTCGCAGTGTACAGATTCAATCCACGGTGAAGACGTGATGTTTATAATTAAAGTGTGTTAACGGTATCGACAGCTAAGAACCAACAATAAGCTGTTAAGATGTGATATTAGCATTGCTTGTTACTGAATCTGCAGTTAACATCTTGAATCAACTGTGAACAAATGTGATGTTTACAATGTGTTGCCACCATATCTGAAGTACTAGTTTACGACTTGAGCTCACCTTGAAGTCATGTGATGTTTACTTAATTACAATATCCCCAGTTTACCGTTCAGTGGACTGTGGAATTTGATGTTAACAGTGTGTTGTTAATTACAGTACCTGCAGTTTACGCCTTGAATCAACTGTGAAGACTTTTGGTGCTTACATTGAGTGGTTACAGTTTACAGCCGTAAACCAAGACGAAAGCTGCTTGTTACAGTGTGTTGTCTTGGTATCGGCAATTGCTGGCGACAAAAAAAAGGCAAAAGTTCGGCTTTGAAGAAGTGTGCATGTTCTTGCTGGCAGACTTTTCCTGTACATACTCTATGTCAGTATGTGATGTTACTATATGTGATGTTAAACATAACACATCACTTCCTCGTTGTCTCTACAAGTATTGTGTTAATTATGTTCACGTATGAGTTGGTCTGGTTCTGGATCACCAAAAAGTGTTCAGTGTCATTCCAGTTGTTGATCATTTAAACATTGAAACATGTACTCCTCTCTAGATGTTACAAACGGGTGAATATCTACAATCAAACTTGTATTAAGTGGACAGTTATTTATGCAAGACATAAAAATGATGCCTTGAAACAAATGACCTTTCAATCTAATTTTGATAAATTTGTCAAAAACAGATATCTTGGCATGGCCCTTAGTGACTTTCCTCTGTACTCCAGGGGTGACACTCACAAAACTGTTATGATCATATTGTTAATCATTTTTTAGCTTGTCTTTTAGCTCTGAGCATCAGTGTTCATGTCAGTAATATTGGTTAAAGTTTTAGTTTAGTGCAAGTGATGATATTATTATAATGTTCAGTACGTGCCAGAACGTTGGATCCCTAGTGTTCTAACGTTGATGCAGTACATTTATTATTAAGTTTTTCACCAGTTTTGGTAATAACTTTTGCATACAAATCACCAGGTTAAAGCTTTAGTTCAAGTGTTGAAATTCATTAGTTTAGCCTCAGAATTTGTAAGTTAGAATTCTGATATTTGTCTTATTGTTCTTAAGGTGGGCTCTGATATTGATTTGGGCACATAATGACATTGTTTAATGATGGTGAGGAGATTCACGTAATTTGTCTTGTGAGATTGACTTATGCTTATGTTGTCATTGTTAATGAAGAATCTGTTTATTGGGCAAATTCATCCTTGATACTCCAGGGGTTACACTCGTATATACACTCTCTGTACTCCAGGGGTTACACTCACGTATACACTCTCTGTACTCCAGGGGTTAAACTCATGTATACACTCTCTGTACTCCAGGGGTTACACTCGCACATACACTCTGTACTCCAGGGGTTACACTCGCACATGCACTCTGTACTCCAGGGGTTACACTCGCACATGCACTCTGTACTCCAGGGGTTACACTCGCACATACACTCTCTGTACTCCAGGGGTGGCACACGTATACACTCTCTGTACTCCAGGGGTTTCACTCCCGTATACACTCTCTGTACTCCAGAGGTTACACTCGCACATACACTCTCTGTACTCCAGGGGTTACACTCACGCATACACTCTCTGTACTCCAGGGGTTACACTCGCATATACACTCTCTGTACTCCAGGGGTTACACTCACGTATACACTCTCTGTACTCCAGGGATTACACTCACGTATACACTCTTTGCACTCCTGGTATATGTCATGGCAATTTGAAGGTACACAGCTAACTATTTGATTAGTCTTAGGTGGAAAAAGAACTGATCAACAGCTAGGCTGATACCTGTCCTGTGAAGATTACAGAGGAGCGACTCCCGCCTTCAGATCTGGTCAATTTTACTGTTACTCTGTAGAGGGAATCCTCTCAAAGGATAAAACTAATCATCTTGTATCATTCACAAGACAGCACACACTGATCGAGCCTTCGAATTTGAAAGTATGAGTGTAACCCTGAAGTATCGAGGATGCGGCGATTTTGCCATAGAAGTTCCTTTAGTCTGAAATATAGAGGTCTCGTGTAAGTATTGTATCCTACCAAATTAAGTTTGTTGGAAGTGTATCACTTAAAATGGATATAATAGATTGATATTAATGTTATAATTTAGTAGTTACTATAACTGTGATTATTGTTCTTTGTCTGCTATCTTATGTTATATATGTGTTCGTCTTGCCTCAAACTACCTTCTATTGTCCATAATATTGTCCATAAGCTTGTGTTATTGATCTTGTTAAATTTGAATGATAAATTCTTAATTCAACATATATTCTTATTTATTATATATATACCTGTTTTATGTAAAGTCAAACATATACATACTTATACTCTGGTATTAATCCTTTATTCCATAAAACTTCATCATGTAAACTTTTACTTAGGGCTGTTCCAAAATTAACCGAAAGGGAGAGAGCTCGAGGTACTAGAGACTCAATAGCCACCACCCATACACTTTTTAAGTGACTTAATGTAAGGAATAGTTTGAAAATCTAGTTGTAAACCCACCATGCACCCACAATAAATCAATAAAGGTGCCTCCTACCTCCCCCATACAATAATAATGGAACAGCCTTTTTTATCCAGAAATTCACATTTTAAACATGTTGTTCTTTACAAGAAGTTGATTTTAATATAATATTTCTTCTATTGTGTATATACATGTCTTATTTAAAATGTTATTTCAGTCTGGACCCATTGCACGGTTTCATTTTAGTTCCAGTGCGATATTAACCGATTATCATGTTCAAGTTATCTTCTGATTCATCAGACCATATCTATATTTTTAGGTCACCTGAGACAAAGTCTCAAGTGACCTATTGCGATCGCCTTTTGTCCGTCGTCGTCCGTCGTGCGTCTGTAAACAATTTACATTTTCGACTTCTTCTCCAAAACCCCTGAACCAATTTCAATGAAATTTTGCAGGGACCTTCCATGGACAAAGGTCAACAAAAA